TCCTCTAAGCATAATAAGGTATATTGGTTATTTTTTAGTATCCCTGAAATCCCCCCCCCCCCATTCTACCAGATGTAATGCTTCAGCCCTTACAGCAGTCATATAATCCAGATGCTATAGAATCTTCATCTTTTTTTCAGATGCAACATGTTTTCTTTCTCCCTTCACAGTGTGAATGACTTGCTTAAATTGCTCAGTATCTTCTTGTTCCTAATGCGGGTCAAGGTGCCCTATATGCAACATAAAGATACGTAAACGAGAGTTCACTCCTATTACAAGACTACCAAAATAGCCAGAAATCTACTAAAGATAATTGATCCGAACCACCCAAGCTAGAATATTCACAATGTGCTCTAGTATTCATTGTCCATGTTAGAAGGAATTAATGTGAAAACAAACACTTCCAATCCACACTCTGAAATCATATAGTACTGTAAGGTACATTAAGAGTATGGTACCATGTGGTACGATTTGATTATGGTGTCGTACATTTTTCGGTCATATGGTACTATTGTAGTCTACAGTACTGTAGAGTACCACATTTTACGGGGCCATACAGCAGGCCTGTCAACTGTCCCGCAATTTGCGTATTTGTCCCGCATTTGCTGAATAATTTGAAGTCACGCCAGTTATTTTTGCGTGACAGAAAATGTCACGCAAATACGCATTTTACCTGGTAATTGTCAAGCAAAAATATTTCTGTAGAAAATTTTCTAAAAAAGATCGTCTACACAGCAAAAATACGAACGACGGGAAAAAAATGTACGCAGTTCGTTCGGACTTTTCACGCGAATTACGGATATGTCACGCATTCCGTTCGAAATTTATTCAAGTTGTATTATTTATTTTCAGTTACTGTTGAGCTGTTGGGACCATGGGTGTTGCCTCTTGCCTCCCAAGTACGAATAGATACCCCTTAGTGTGACTTGAGCCTATATTGAGTGCATGTTTAACACCAAGGAATTCAGTAAGTAAATATACAAAGCGTGTTTTTGTTGCACTATTGTTGCTCTTGAGTATTTGGTCATCGTCTGAGGTGGCTTTAATTTTTTCATTTTTGGCCTAAAAATGGATCTTCGGGCCTCGTTTTCAAAAAGAATATAAAATCAAAATATTTGAGACAATTGGCTTTTGAGAAAATGGGCCTAAAATAATTAGAAAATGGGTTCCCAGTAAGAGATTGACTAATTTTCACATGCAAACACAAGAAGGGATTTTCAAACACCTTTTCGACCCCTTGTCAATTTCCAGAATTGTTCTTGATCAGCCACTGGTTGACAGTATCAGCATTTTGGTGTACACAATGTCCCAGAAGGCCTGTTCCTGAACATTGAACAGTGAGTTCTTTGAAACTTGAGCTGAGAACCTCTCCAGGAAAACCCACTTGCCACAACAAATCACTATCAACTGACCACTCTATCTGAGATTGGATTAATTATTGTGACTGCCCAGATAACCTTTATTGCTGACTGAAGAGATAGTGATAATTTATTCTAATTCACTACACTAAGTGTAACTATTCTCAGAAAGTTCTCAGTTTTTGTAGCTGAAATACAATTTTGCCCTCTGAATGCACGATAAATGAATTTGTATGCATGATAAAAATTTTTTTTTTAAATTTTACTGAAAATAAGTACATTTGCACTAATCAGTATCATTGTATCATATAGTATCATATTTATGCAAATTATTTCTTCACTATTTAAAACAAAAATGATCTCAAACAGACACTACGTGGCTCTATACTGTACAGACATATGGAATAATTTGATAGATCAGGATGCCACAGAGCCTCTGGGACTTATTGAAACGAAGAGCACATTGACTAAGGAACATGCGAACAATCATGGAATCCAAACAAATGTTTACCTCTTCAAGTGGAACCAGTTAATTCTCCATCAATTCCTCATGATCAATCTCTACTCCAAGACCAAGCTATTGAGTCCAGATGTAAATAAATGACCATCCAATTCACTCCAATTGACTTTATCTAACCACACTAATCCCATGTCAAAACAAATGTTACCAGATATTTTAATGATGGCTTTTGGGGGAATCCTGATTCACCTTGAACTAGTAGGGAATGGAGATAATCACCTACAGCTTCCTAATGGCCTCCAAAGCTCTGTTTTATATCAGTCTTTCAAGCTTATCTGTTTCATCCTTAAGGTCATGCCTTTCTTTGTTTTAAATATCATTTAGTTATGTACATTTCTTTCCAATTCTTTCTAAAACCTGAATGAGATATCTGATTTTTTGTTATTTCTATACAATTTAGAGTATGAATATTGTGTCTGTTAACTCTATTTCACGCGAATTTAGCTTTTTTCCACTCTATTTTAGATTTTAAAACATGACCTTAACAAGATTATTCCCTGGTTTAGAGCCTCTTCTGTATCCTGTATCTCATTTAGTGATGGTTATGACCAGCATATGTTCCACTTAGACTTTTATGTTTGCAAGCAGACCTGTCTGTCTCAGTGGCCTGAGTGTGCTAGGTATACTGACTTTATGAATGATGGTCAAGAACCATTGCAATAACTCTGGCTGTTTATCTTGAACTTTCCAAAGTTGCAAACGACAGACAAGAGGGGAAAAGTGATCCATATTTCAATGACAAATTTTTTTTTTTATTATTATTTATTTATTTATTAATTATCCTCATTCATTACAAAACATTTACAAAATCTTCAATCGCCAAATACATGCATGGCATTATAGAAGAATTGATGGAACTTAATGAAATATAATATAAGGAGCAATGTTAACAGTAGTTTTGGGGTTGTGTGGGGGGGGTGCTTGGCGTGGGAAACAATGACAAATTCTGACGATTGGCTCGGTGAGTTCAGAGATTAATTGTAAATTGAAAGAATGAAGATGAAGCTAAGGATATAGTCTTTAGTGGACACGATGAAGAATGTTTTCACAGCCTCCTTGAATGTTGGTATTTTCCTTTCTCAGTCAATCTGGTATTCATTCTCCTTCACCTTGACTTTTAGACTTTGAAACTGTTTCATTGTACTAGAAGGGAGGTCCTCTACATTCTTCTTGTGATTTGCGTATTGCACTAACTATTGTCAAATGTTTTCTATTTTCTAACTAATATGACATCATTTTATGTAATATTATAGTGTAGGTCCTGTGCACGCTGTTTTATTTCAACTTAATAGTATCCATACATACCTTACATTTCATTTTTCAAAATGAGTCTGTGAATTCCCGCAAGATTTAAAGAGATGTTTTGGAAACCAGACACATTGTTACATGTTTGAAGCTTTAAAATAATTCTAAGTTCAGAGGGCAATGTATTTAGTTGTGAACCATGAATGTAAGTGTCATTTCGTGTAAATGTCAGTAGGAGCATTAGGAATGACGCATACAGTAAAACCTTTACATTTGAACGAATCTTTTAAGTGAACATCGGAAAATGTGAACCATTTTACTGTATGGTCCTATTTTTGACATGCTATCATCATCGAGGTTTAGAATTATTTATGTGAATTTCTCAGTGTATGGATGAGCATAGGATTTACTGTGTCTGATATTTAAAGCTAGATTATTCTTTGGGTTGAGGGGTGTGGTAGTTTTAGTTGACTATATCAGTTGACTATCAAATTATTCTCTCCCACTGTATGTAAACCTCGTTCCGAAGTCTCAGTTTACAGTTTTTGAGACAAAACTAAGACGAGACAACAGTTGTTATATGCAATACTTTAGTGTTGCCCCTTGTGTTTTCTGTAATTTACTAATATACTTGGTTTGACTGAACATATTAGATAGATGCAGTAAAACCTGTCTTAGTGAACATCTCTCTCTAGTGAACATCTCTCTCTAGTGAACACCTGTCTCTAGTGGACACCCTTCCTCCACACATATTATACTGATGTCTGTACAAAATACCCTCTCTTTAGTGAACACCTACCAACATTGAATTTTTTTATCAGCAAAAACTGTTCAATATACACAGGTTTTACTGTGTACTCATATTCCTATTCCATTGACTACAAATACATGTACTGTTCAGGGGTGGATCTGGGAACCAACAAAGGGGTGGGGCAAATTCCAGGTCAGAGAAAAAACGTCCCCTAAAACCCTAAAGCCCAATTTTTGAAATTTTGAGGCCTATTTTCTTCAAAATTTGGCCTGAAATTAAAAAATAAGGCCTTAAAAGGCCCAGTAATGACCAAAAAGGCCTACTTTTTGGGGCTCAAGGCCTTTTTTGGCCCCCAGCCCCCCCCCCCCCCAGATCCGCCAGTGCTGTTTAACATAATTTGGTGAAATCATAGGAGCAAAATATGCAAACAATAAGCATATGGCTTTGTTTTATAGGTTCTGTCTGTGATAAATAGGAGCCTCGACTGTGCAAGCTTTACTCGCAATATTTTACTTGGTGAAAACTTATCTATCAGTGATCTCCCCAGGGTTTTATTACGGAGGTAGTTTGAGATTTTTGAATTAAGCATCAAGAAAACGTGCAGTGCGACAGACAATGTGGGAAAGCGCTTGGAAGTCCCTAATTTAATCACTTTAAATTACATTGGGATGAGCTGACATTTGAAGTTTGTCAATTTATATTCTTATTTTTATATAATTATTTCTTTGTCATTTTAATGCGAATTGATATACTGAAGATCTATACTTTAGCATCACTAGTTATCATCCTATCTACAACTGGGCAACAATTTAAGACTTTTTATAAAAGGTTACTCTTAACTCCTCTCTCTTCTTTGATACCCCGGTTCGTACCCCTTTAATATATGATAATAATTGATAATGAATAAGGTACATACATCACTCTAAGGATCTTCCACTTATGAATCTAATATTATGACTGATACTATTCCTATATTTCCAGTTACCATGGCAAAATGTGAACACAGCACACACAAGTGAACCCTGCATCTTAAGATCAGCGATTGCATAATTTGATGTAAGTATAACTGTCTTAAAGCTGAATTATTGCCATTCCAATAACTTATAATAAATAATCAAAGACTTACCAATATTTTGGTTATAAACAGTCCGAAGTTAGCGATGCTGAGAAAGGTGGCTTAGTTAGTCCGTACAGTGTGTTAGGCCCAGTAGTATGGCTTTGATGGAACATCCTCGTGCTATTGGACTAAAAATAACCAAGAGATATGGTTCCAGTAGATTTTGTGTTATGAACACTGGTTGGGAGCTGTGAATATATGCATTTGATGCTGTTAAGAGGTGTACAGTAAACAGTGTGAGATACAACTGTCAAGAAGCCTGTGTATAACAGGTATATATAATTGCATGTTGAAGATTGTTAGTTAATTGAAAATGCATTGGAGCTGTTTTATTACAAATTTGATTGATGAAAAATGTACAGTTTTGTGTGAGATACCTTGTAACCACTCAAAACTTACTTGGTTTTATTAATAGTCTACCATGTTTCTAAATAAATGTATACTGTGGATAAAATGTTTAAAATACAGAATTCTGTTATCTTGTTTTTGGCAGATTCCACCTTTTGATAATTAATGATTACCCATATTCAGCTAATCCAATGTTTTATCTTGGTCTTGGCTCCTAGCCATTGTAGATACAAGCTGCAAGACTAGGTGTTTCACATTACAGAAACACTCATGCAATTGCACAGCTTTTATCATTTTAACAAAGTGTTCACTAGAGAAAATTGTTCATTCAGGAGACTGGTGTCCACATGAAAAAGTTGTTCATTTTACACCACAAAAGGTATTCACAGAAAGCTGGTGTGTAAACTAGTGAAAAGTATTCATATAAGAGAAATGTATTCACACCAGAGTGAGGTCTCCAAATGAAAAAATTGTTCACATTGAAGAAAATTATTTTTACACCACAAAAGGTATTCATAGAAAGCTAGAGTGTAAACTAGTGAAAAGTATTCATATAAGAGAAATGTATTCACACTAGAGAATCTTAATTAGAGAAAAGTGCATACTAGAGAATGATATTAGGTCTCCACACTAGAGAAGAATGTTCACACTGAAAAAAATTGTTCACACTAGTGACATATATTAACTCTAGAGAAAGGTAGGTATGCACACTAGAGAAAGGTGTTCACAGTGCTAAAGAAAGGTGTTCACACTAGAGAAAGGTATTCACACTGTAGAAAGGTTCAAGAGAGAAAGGTGCTTCCATTACATTCCATACTGGAGAAAGGTATTCACACTGGAGAAAGTTATTCATTCTAAGTGAGAAAGGTGTTACAATTAAGTAAGAGTATTCACTCTAGAGAAAGGTGTCCACACTAGAAAGAGAAATGTGTTACCAAAGAGTATTCACACTAGAGAAAGGTATTCACATTATAGAAAGATATCCACACTAGAGAGAGAGAAAGGTGATACCATCAGGTAAGACTATTCACCATGGAGAAAAGTATTTGCACTAGAGAATGGAATTCATGTTAGCGAAAGGTGTTCACTTTTCATCTTGGGAACCTGCATGCCAAACTCTGCTATGGTGAGCCAAGCACAAGATTTGCTGTTTCTGATTACAGATACATTCCCTTACATTTCTTGCAAGTGTAATTTCAATCCAGTGTTTATATACGAACATGGAATCATTCTAAGGTCATCCTCATGATGTTGCCAATTTGATGAGCAATAACATTAAATTGCATGAGCGTATTTGTTCTGTAGCTGGCTATGAGGCAGGCAACAGACAAGGCATGCTTCACCTATTTGAATTTGCTTCTCCTTTGAGATTGTGACTGCAGAAAGGTGTTCACCAAATCAATTCTGTGTTAAACCCAGATAAGAAGAACCATCCATTTGGAAAGGTGTTTACATAGAGATGTAATTGCTTACAATGGAGAAAATGTGTTTACCAAGGATCTGTTCTTTCCATAATCGTTTTCACATTTGGTGTCTTAATGTTTGTTCCATTTCATGGTGACCTTGATTTTTAGAATTTAAATTTTCATTTTCTAATTTAGAATGATATTAAAGTCCCCATATAAAGTTAAAACCACTTTGGCTTATACTGTTGATAACCCAATATTATCAAAATATGATATGTGAAACTTTTTTTTCTAATTTCAAAAATTGATTTTTGAAGGACTTTATCTTCGAAAAATCGTGAATTTATTTAACACTAAATTCGAGAGGTCACACATATTTTAAAATAAGCAATACTTAATGTTTTAAGAAAACAGGTTTAACTTATCTGCTTTTAGGTCCATTGACAAGATTGCTGAGAAGATACAAGAAAGATGAAGATGTTGCATGATGCCTCGGGAGGATGCCATGACTCAACATGTATCTCAACCCTATCTGTTTACACCAACATTCAACATACAGCTTGTATTGGCTCATAATCACAAGGAAAAGGCCTTGGAATACTGCAGGTACATGAAGCATCAAGTCTCACTTGGATACCTGTATATCTGCAGGAACTGTAGCTAGATGATTTTTGCAGCATAAACCATTTGCAATATGATGCTCTACTTTTTTTAACATAAAGCAGGGGTTGATCGTGGATTCCATAAAAAAGAAGGCTCCACAATTGATGAAACCATTTAAAATCATCCACTTTGCTTGTTTTCCCATTTTATGTGATATTCATACTGCAATCTATAAAAAGTGACTATTTTTTAATTTTTTTCGAAACACAACATGTATCTTCATTTGCAAAAAGTGAAAAAATGTATTTTAGGAATCTTATGAAGTCACCCAATTAGAATGTCTATAGCTTGGAACTTCATTTGAAAGCAAAACTAAAAAAGCACTTAGCACATTTTACCCTTTTCAATAATTTAATTCATAGTAATGCCTTCATGTACCAATGCCGGATTTTGAGATACAATATCATGACCAACTCTTTTGGGGGGCTTTGAAATATCAATGGTTTAGACACATAAAACTTAAACAGTTCAGTTACACCATACAATATTCCTCAGATATGCTTTTAAGAATTCAGAATTATCTTGCCACTTATATTTTATGAAGACATATGATCTCCTTGTATACATTACATTCACTTTTTATATGTCTCTGATTCGCTGTATTTGTAATTTATGAATAATAATGTGTAAAATAGACTTATTGCGCATTTTTGTTAGAAATATTATCTTTAGTACAATTTGAAAGCTCCTCTATCTGTAAGTCAAGTTGTCTTAAGTATGTTTTTGAAACCAACGTAAGATAAGTAGTTCTTGCTTAGAAGATACCAGAATGAAGAACCAACTTTCAAAACAAATTATCAATCCAAAAATGACAGTATGCATGCAGATGATAGCAGGGCATCCTCAGGCATTTTTTAAGCTTGTAATATAATATGTTTGTTGTACAATGAGGTAATCTGATGTCTCAAAGAAGGAAAATACCAGTAGCTTTCAGAATTAACAGAATTAATACATACAATCTGCATATGCCAGTTTTTGAAGTAAAAGAATGTCTAAGGGAAAAAATGTTTTAATGCGAATAAAATAAAAACTGATTCTATTGTTTCAAATAATACCACAATTGGCAAAATGGCCATATTGTCATAATTCTCATGGTTATGTGAAGAACATGGTTCTCCACTTTGAACTCATCTTTGAAGGTTCAGGCAACACATAGATATAATATTGTGCCCCTAATGTTGATTAAATTACATTTTTAGAAGTTGCTTTTCTTCAAGGGTTAAAGGCTGAGAGGAATTTCATATATAAAAATGGAAAATGTTCTGAATGAGGCATGATTTTTTGATATTTTTTTGTTGTTGTTAATGTGCCCATATATTTCCTATGCACAGTGAAACCTGTAAAGTGGAACGCCTCTGGAAATGGAACAGCTCTGTTAGTGGAACACTTTTCATAGTCCTAAGAACAATTGACTTAATGTAAAATGAACCTCAATAAGTGGAACACCTCCCAAATGGAACACTTTTTAGAGGTACCAAAAGTGTTCCACTGAGTTGGGTTTTACTATACATCATTTTGATAAAATCAAATCAGTCAGCCACTGTATCAATCTTATTTTGCCTTAAATAAAATTCTAAATTGTAATGGTTAGATGAAGTTTAAAAGATCCAGACCAAATATGTGCCCTTTGTGACAACACCTTCCCCACAGGGGGGGGGTTACAGAGACTTTATGCAAGATGTTTCGGATTTGCCCAATTCGTCATCCTAGAGTATTCCTTTGTAGAATCATATCTCGAGTCTACTCTATATATTTTAGCTGTGAGGCCATATTTTCAGCCTCAAGACCATCATGACATATACATGACCCCTTGGAAGTGCAACATAAAAACACTTTCGGTCTCTATATCATGATTGTGGTGGTATCAGGTATCAATTAAATGGGAAGTTTTAAAAGAAAACAAAAAGTTATAAAAAATCCACTGAGAAAATGATTCAGAGCATAATCAGGGGCCTTATACCCTTAACTGCTACCCTTATGTAAGCAAATACAGTGAAACCTTTATATCCGAACACCTTCCAATTCTTAAAATTTTTTCTGGCCCCATTTTTTCCTCCCATTGACTCCCATGTTAAAAAATTGAAATCTGAACAACTGATTTGAACACACATATTTGAAAAATTAACCTTTTCACAAAATTCACAAAATATGGGTATCACAAATATGGCTCACATATTTTCAATTTCACTGATTTGTTATGATATCAAAACTTTTAAAAACAACTCAATTCATTTGAATCAGATTTGGGAATGCAATTAAACTATATGGTCAATGAAACCATTAATATTCATTGAGAATGCATTAATATTTCTTAAAAATTCAGATTCTCGCAGATCTGAACACCACCTAATCCAAATGCTTTTAGCCAGTTCCAATGAATGTTGTTCGGATTACACAGGTTTTACTGTAGTAATTTCTATCCTCTGACTAGATCAGACAATTTAATAGTTTAGACACTGGTAAGATCTTAATGACCCCTAATGTAGCTGCCTACCCTGCGTGCAGAGTCTAGTTAAACTACACGAAGACGAAGCTCTCTTTTAAGAAGTGAAGTCAAACGAATGCAAAGGGTAGTAGCTGCCATGATCTGATAGGCTTGACCAAAGATTTTTATATTAAAATGTGAAATCAAATTTTGAGAATGGTACTTACATGTACCTCCTGGGATAAACTTGCATCTTAGCTCCTCCATCTACAAAGCCTGTGTGACTGTGAACTCCATCTATTTTTGTGTCTTCATATTAATCCATCTTTTGCATCTCTTCTATTGGTGTGACTATCACTGCACTAGCAGGGATACCGAGCTATACTGCCTCGACAAAATTTTACAGGAAATATTTATTCAGATTTTGGTTTTGAAGTCCTGCGATTGTAAAGTATTATATCCCATTTTACTCAGACCCTTGTCTAATAATCTGACTTTTTTGTTGTTTTTTTGCTTCATACGTCATGTATTTTAGAATCTGAGCTGATGTCTAAGATAAATGTCACTGTTAAAGAGATATTGTATTTGAAAAGGTGTCTAACTATACTTGGTTAAATGACTCCCAGGCCACCTGTTGCAGCTTCTAGCCCAGAGAATACATACTGTGATCATAATTATAGACTTGATTGGCAGTTAAACTTGTAGTAATTTGTTCTCCACATGTACATGCTGAAATACACATTTCTCTCGCTTTTCACATTGCTGCATTTCACAACAGTTTATACAGTGGAATCAAACTTATTGAAAAGGGTAATCAATAATCCTTTGATGAGGAAGCAAACTATATCTTAAAATCTTCCAATTTAAAATTTATATTTTATATACTGTAATGCTGTATATTATTGACGTTTATTGTATATGTGTGCTTTGGTATCACCTGGTGCCTCATTAAGTGATTTCAGCACACCTGTAGGGAGAGGGACTTATAGAGAGCAGTCATATTGAGCTGCAACAATTATTTGTGTATTTTGTAACTGCAGATGTGAAAACATGCATTCATATTTCCCTTTCATGTGTAGGGGCCTTCTTCAATCGTTCATTTTCAAATCCAAAAGTCTACTGGGAGAATTGTATACCTCTGTTGTCTACCAAATTGATTGCCCAACCTCGGGTAATTATGTGAGTATAATGAAAGATATAATTCTAGAAATATTGCCTTTATGTCACCACCACAAGTGGTAACATATTACTGTCTCCAAATTTTTTGTGGATGACGCTCGGTGGTTAGCACTTGGCGTTCAGCAGCTAGCATCTGAAACCACATTGCAGGTGGTGACATTTTGCATGTTAATGCCTTGTTTATTTATTTATTTATCATGGCACACTTGTGTTACAATTGTGTTACATTTGTATATATCCTTCACTTTGTGATGTTTCTATTTAATATATATGATTGAGTAAAAAGGCAATCATGAAACGTATTCACAGGTCAAATAATTATACTATTAGTGCAGTCAGGCTTGAGTACTTCAAACTGACTCTTTTAACTCTTCGGACATTACAATAATTATGATAAAGTTAAAAAGATGGCAGCATTGTATTTTTGATTTGGTCCAAAATTTTTGTGACTAAATAAAACACAACTCCGTGGACCTTCATTGCATTTTCAAATACAAAAATAATATGGAGCGTCTATGTCTATATACTTAAAACAGAACAGTGACATTATGACTCCCTTGTAGCTGAGACAGCATAGGTTGCAATAATGTCAGTGTTTTTGATGTGATAAAATGGTTGTTATATGATGATGTTTGGAATGATGATAATCCTTTCGTCTAGGATTTGTCTGTCAGGACTCATGAGTTGACATGATACATGTCCGTGATTATGGCTTGGTTCATCGCAATCGCAACCCTTCAACTTCTCTTCCAAATTAAAGGCCTACACGAAACAAGTAGATATGGGAAAGGTCTGGTAAACTAGTAAAGCAGGAGGAGTTGGATTGTTAAGCAAAGTTGAGAGGTCTTTCCAGACGTCCCATGAAGAGGATAGCTCCAGTACGGTTGTCCTTGATGTAGAAAAAGAACGGATGGTCGCAATCGAATTCCTCAGCGCCATAATTGGAGAGAGTGGACGTAGGTTCCGCGCCTCTCTCATTTACATCAATGTAGGCCTTGTGGAACATGTTAGACACGTGCATTTCGCGTGATCCCGTCACTCCACTCAAGTCAGCCTTTTCCTTGTCAAACAGATCTTTCACGCCCATATCCGCGAGTCGATCTTGAAGTTTCACACTTCTACCCATACTGAATTTGGGGAGACGTAAATTGATACGCGATTCTACTAGAAGCTGTGGAATAGCGTCCAAGTATTCCGTGGTTAATTTCTCCTCGACTTTGTCCAGGCTGTCGTACTGAGTTGGGAGAATGATCACCATGCTTTGGATGTTCTTCAAGTATGGAATCTCGATGACTCTAACTTCTACCTTATAATCATAACCAGCTTTGTATATCCCCGTGCGGTTCATATAGTCAACCTGTATTGTTGCCTTTTCTTCTTTCTTCTTTTTCCCTGTGCGGATGGTGAATTCTCCACGCCTGGTTTTCTTCATATCAAACTGTTCTTCCCAATTCCCTTTGAAATAAATGGCATCGACCAACACCAGGATGGTTTCCTTGGAGATTGCTCCAGCCGGGATAAGCCCCTTGATCTTGCGTCCAGTTTCCCATTCCGCCCATGCGTTGATCACGAATCTCGATTGTTCTGGGTATTTCTTAAAATCAATTTGTGCCAAGTCAGCCTGGTAGCAGTGATTGACCAGATCCATGTAGTCTCTCTTGTAGTTGAACCCCTTATTGGAATAAAGCCTGTTGGCGAGTCGGATCGTGTAGTCGGACGAGGACTCTTCTAACGTGTTGAGAAGATCCTTCCAAGCCAAGTGGAGACGTTTTTGGTCGATTCCCTCGATCCCCATCACCTTTGCCATTTCCTTCTCCGTCTCATTCCGGGCACCACCATACAACAGAGACAGCACTACAAATAAAATATAGGTATCAGATATATGTGGCTTAGATTTTTGCATTTGTTGAAAATGAGCGGGCGTTCAGAAAAACGTTTCGAAAGATCTTGTCTGTTTTGAAAGAATTCAGACTCACCTGCGGCAATACTTATTGGTGAAAAGAATATATTCCCAGATCCCTTTTTGTCCTTGAGGATTTCCTGATACATTTCAATGGCGAAGTTAATGTTGCCAATCACCAGTTGTTCCACGCTGCTCTGTATGCTTCTCCTAGACTTCCTGGATCGTGAGGGAGCGGATGGTGAGATGGGACTCTGCTCATTTGGGGGTGGGGACATGGGTATAGGGGGTGGTGCCGTGGAAGGTGGGAGAACTCCGGCCTTTGACATCCTGTGTTTGCAACAAAATATAATTTTGTATAATTTTGCATGTCAGTTATATAAGTGTATATGTGCGGTTTTTGATAATAAGATACAAGGTAGGTTAAGCTATGTGTTTGCTTCCAAATGTACGTGAACGTGAACTCATGGTCGTCTAGGAATTAGTTCTTTCCTTGATAGATTGATTGATAGATTCAGCCCAACGGAAAATAGTTGTAATGAGGTCACTGAAAAAAAACAATTGTGAGGAGGACAGTAATCCATGGGGGTCATAAGATCACACGTTCACGTCACGTACACGTTTTCTTAAAAACGTGTAGCTTGACCTCCTACTTTGTTGATTCATAGGTTATTCAGTAAAAATCATGCTAATTGTAATGTCAAATGTATCCCCAGCACGTAATTAATTATTTTTATACCGAACTACTATAAAGATTTGATTAATTCCTCCCTTGACTTTCAAAACCATGATATTTCTTATCGTTCGCTTTTCTAAATATAACTTACCTTAAAGTTTTACTGTTGCAAATCCACAGTGAAAATTATTTTAGTTAGCGTCCCAGACAGTTTCATACAGATTAAAAGAGAAATTATTCGAAAGTTGGACTTTGATTAAGAGAGGGGGTGTAACTAACCCATAACCTTGCATACTTGCATTAATGAAGGTAAATAAATTAAAAATCAAGTAGTTAATGTTGAATATGTTTATTAGAACTTGAAGTCAAAGGGCAGTGTACTTGATATCGAGTACAGGTAGGACCTCGTTTAAGTTGAGAAAATAGTTGCCGATAAAACGTTTAATTTAATTAGGGTCATAAAAATGTTTCAGCAATAGCGTGTACACGAGCTCTGGACCTGAGTTAAAGTAGGCTAGTGTCGTTGATGGCCTGTAATGCCTCAGGCACTTTTGCTCTATAGCGGTGGGTGTACGGCGACCGTAGCTTCACAAAATCGATATAGAAAATTTAAATCGTACTGCATGCTTATCCCCATTTGATTTTAATTATATCTCTCGTATATCAAATGTGACTGAGACGCGTGACTGGATTTGTGATCAACGGGCAAGCTACAGTTTGAAATCTTGACCGATGTGGATTTAAAGTGGGAAGCAAATTATAACAGAAATTCAAACAATCCCTACCGTTATCCGACTAAATAGGGACTTGGAACTATAATTTGCAAAAAAAAAATCCGATGATGTTAACGGATTCACATTGAACCGAATCTGACTGATGACCAATAATAATTTTCCCTCTGAACGGATGTCCTGGGCGTTAAATGAAAGCGTTTTCATTTAAACAGCAAAGGGGAGGGGGCGTCCAAGAGAAGATGGCAGTTATGTTTTATGGGCCTATGTGCCTTTCAACTCTGAGATAAAAACTTTGGAATTTTAAAGATGAAGATATCAGGTGACTTTTTTGTGGTAAACATGCTTTTATGGTCCAAATTTAAAACCCCAGAGCGCGCCCCCCCCCCCCCCATAGAACAAATAAAAAACATGCACATTTCCATTCTTCGAGCATTTTTGAATACCCTGTGAACGTTCTTAAAATGACAACATGAATAAACACAGTATTAACTTTTATTAATATATTTTATTGAAATAACAGCCTCACATAATTTGATAGAAAACTAAATAATATAATTTATTAAAATTGCTCGATAGGTCATATTTCTAAATCGAAAAAAATATCTTAAAAAACAAAAAAGTTAAAATCGATATATCTGAGTAAAAGATGAGTGAAGCATGACTTTCAGTTGTGTAATATCATTTAGTTTAAGTATATATATTTCAGCAGTGTCATTCATTTTTAAATCGAATATTTAAATATTTTGTCATAAAACAGTTTAGCCACCTACAAATATGTCACCACCACAAGTGGTGACATATTGTAATTATGGCCTTCAACTTTTTTGGTACGGCGTCTGGCGATTAGCGTTCGATCGGCGTCTGTAACAAATTGTAGGTGGTGACATTTTGCATGTTAATGCCTTATTTTATCATAAAAAGGTCCGTGTTGCAAAGTGGAAGGAATATGTTCTTTAGGTAAGGTACTTATTTCTATTTCCAGGTTGAGGTTTAAAGGTCAAGGTGGCCAGAAGTGTCAAAAGGTCAGTTCACTAGAAGTTACATTCTTCAGGCTTGAAAAACAAAGAAACAATTCTTCTGTGCGTTGCTTCTAAGGGTTATTGCACTAGAAATATCGCTTTTGACCAAATAAAAACCGCACATTTAACTGTTACATAATCGTTTCTAATACTACTCGTAAATACTGTAATCAATAATTATAAAACACTCCATTTATTGATTGTAGGCGCTTATAACTTGAAGTATAAGGGCTACATGTATATGTAGTCTTTAGAAATGAGGCATCTGTCAAAATGGATATCTTAATTCAGATTACTGCAGCAATTGCATATTTAAAGGATTTATAGTAAGCCCGCCTAATATGCATGTACTGCTGAACCCCGTCGGATGTGGAAAGGAGGTCGTCGAACATTCTACCAGTTAGTTGTGGTGGACCTGCTGTGATATCTGGTAGTTCTAGGGGTCTTAGATTGCAATAAGTTCGCCATAGCTCCACCCATACTTTTGTTTGCAATACCCTCTGCTTCGGGCTTCACCCGTGATTCTGGGCGGGCAGACTGGGGTAGGTTGCCGTAGTTATCAAGGAGTTTGTTCAGAGTCCCTTTGTTCTTTACTGCAACGTCAGACGCCTCGGGTTTAACCCTAGGAGCAGGCCGAGCGCTTTGTGGCAAATTGCCATAATTGTCTATTAGATTATTCACCGTTCCCCTATTCTTCCTGGCGATATCAGCAGCTTCTGGTTTAACACTTCGCGGAGCTAGTTTCCGGTCCTGTGGCATAGGCCTGTGTTCACCACTATGCATAATGTCCCCCATTGTGCCCTTATTCCTGGTAGCCACTGCTTCTGCTTCTGGTTTCACTCTTGGTTCCGGTCTAGGTGATGCATATTTATTCCTCATGTTTTCATTACATTGCCCAAGGATGGAGTCCATTCGACCATTGGCTTGTAACGCATTGGACTCCGCGGACGATGAAACCCTCGGTGCAGGCCTGGCTGTATAATAGCCTGACCTGACATTATCTTCATGGTTGAATATAGAGCCCATTGTCCCCCTGTTTCTCTGCAGGTTCTCTTGAGCCTGTGGTGTGAAGGCACGAGGCTCTTTCCTGGGTGAGTAGTAGCTCATCGTTTAGAGTATTATGACTATAAACTAAATGTTTACATTAATACAGAACGTGGTACCAAGCCGCCCAGGCTGGTCAAGTTTTCCTAGTCACGTTTAGGTTTTTTATGTTGTGTGCGGTGCAGGCGACACTTTAGAAGCTTGTTTTAGAAGTTCATACATGTTCTGCCTGGAACATCTTTGGTATTATTCTGAAATCAAAAGTATACCTGTGTAAACGGTAACATTCATACCAGTATAGTAATTTAGACTGAACAACACTGCCCTTCAAATGAAATTATTATTATCCAAAAAATGACTTTTCAGTGGGACTAAGATAATCTTAGACCAGTATTACCTGATTACTGAGAAATCTCAGACTGATATAAACTCACTGTCAGTGTTATCAAGGGGGCTTGTTGGGAATATAGATTGTTGCATCTAAATTGATTACTCCCAGACCCTGAACAACGAAAGATTATATGAGTGGAATAATTTGGTGATTTTTTGTACATGTACCTCCCACCATTCTTTTGGATGAGCTTTTTGTTGTCTGGGTAAGGGAGTATTGAGTAGACAACCCTGCACTTATCCTGTGCCAGGACTATAGTTATAGTCCTGGCACGGGATAACCCTGCACTCTTCTTAGGCCTATTCACTGGATACATGAGCTTTGGATTGAATGACATATACACTGTTGCTCATAAATATGGAATATTAGATTTGGCAGCTCAAAATTCAAATTTTGGAGTAAGAGAATATTTATTTGGAGTCGGTTCAGACATTTATTTTCTAGACAAATTATAACCACATATTTCATCTACAAATCAACATTTTTTAGAGAAAAAATATTCACATTTAAATTTAGAAAATTACTCTTATTTAAACAGGGGTAAGCTGAGAATTTTTGCATTTTCAAAACACCCCGATCCAAATCGTCATGTAAAACAGATCAAACAAAATAAACATCTGGTCATAACGATTGAAGTGTCCTCTATCCAATGATAGCACTTATATGCGGTATGTCCTCTTTGTGCTGCAATCAGAGCATTAACCCTGCGGGACCAGCATTGAATGAAACACCTGACCTTTTTAAGTGAAATAAGGCCCCATTCCTCAATTTGAGCAGTGCGTAACGTGTCTAGATTTTTATGTTGGGGTCCAAGTCACGCATCTCATTACCAAGGTCGTCCCACATTTGCTCTGCATTAGCCTGATTGGCTGACATTTGTGCCTATGGTAGCTGGTCCACATTGCCTGCCCTGATGTAATCCAACACGATGCCAGTAGCATATGCAACAGCATGATCATTCTGCAGATGAATGTTGCCCCAAAACACTCTGCTTACATGTGATACTTGATGGAGGTTCAAAAGGTCAATTCACTCTGAAATTATGTTTGGGAATCACCAAGGGGGTGCAATCTTTGTAGTATTGCTCCAAACAATCCCTGTAATACTGCTCCAAACATAAATAGGGTCACCTTCGTGGACTGCCACATCAGTAAGTGTCCTTATTGTCTCTTTCCTCTGGTCTACGACAGAAACGAACACACTTATCAACTTTGTGGAGGACACATCTTATTTCTTCACATGCTGTCATATGACACAAAAGATTAGGTGCAACGTTTTAGTGCTTTCCTGCCCATTGAAGGCACCTTTCTTTGTTATGATCAGTTAGCTGTGGTTTCTTTAAAGGTATCATGGCCTTGCACCCGTTCTAAAGAAATCACTGGTTGGCTATAGCTCTGGAACACAGGTTTTGAGGTGAGACAGCAATTCATCTCGTAGACTACTGGTTGACTTAAAGCGATTTTGATGCAGCAGGTGGTGGTCTTTTCTTACATTATTCTCTCTAGGGTTACTGTTGCTGTGACCTGGAGTCATATTCCAATGCCTTTGGTACCACTGCAGAATTTTAGAGACTGTTCCTGACACACCCCTAGGGTCCTGGCAATGGCAGTTTGTTTCATGCCAGAGAGCGCCATCCCTATGACCTGCTATGCTTTTTTTCGATTATTTTATGGGGCATGCCTTCTAAAAACTCTTCAAACTCAAAATTAAAGTTTTATAAAATGTGCACAATGGTTACAACTAAGATTTGGACACCTCTTTCAAGTTACCAATATCGCGAGGTCATGGGGTCACTTGAGTGAATACAAGTTTAATCAACCATAAATATTTTAACTTTTCATACCAATCAGTTTTATATGCAAAACTGATGAGGGAATGAGAACACATTACAAATTGTCATCAAAATGTTATCGTTTTGTAGAAATCCCATCAAACAGTTCGTATCTATAAAATATTCCATATTTATGAGCAACAGTGTATTACTATACTGGTATAAGGTACCAGGATTTTGTATTGTCTTGGTACAGGATATTATGACTGAACCATGGATGTCATACTGTATCTGGTAAAGATTTCTTGACCACCGAGGTTCGAGCCCGAGCTAGCAACTGTGATCGAATGTAGTATGTACTTGTTTGTGCAGATGAATTCTGTATAATACTTTCACAATATGCATTTGCTAAGTGTTCAAATATTCTTGAAATGATGAGGTATTTACCTGAATTTCTTCGTTTCTAGCAGCAATTATGTCAACAATCAATCAAACAGTAGAGCTGGCGACTCCGCAGTTTAGTATTCGTTGTAGTACTGCATTAACGTATAATTTATTGGTTTCTTTTGTTCGTGATGCAAATCATCTGTGTTTATAATACCAAGTAAAATATTAAAGACAATTTGTTAATAATCATTTACATGAATCAAATGTTACATCAACATTAATTTGTTACTTTCGTATAAATGAATTGTTTCATAAGTTGTTCATAGATGGAGCTACTGACAGATTGAGTAGTCATAAACATTTGTACAGCACAAGTAGGAATAAAAATCCATATTAAGAAAAGTCAAATGGACCCGCTATCAGGTGTGTTCGGCAGTTTGGATGTGATATTATAGCCCATGTGAATTGACCGTTGACCAGAAAAATCAAGATGTTAACAAGTGTAAAAAGTATATGCTAACTGAGACCGTAAAGCAGTGCGATAGCCTGGGACTATGGAACTTAAAATGAGACCTAATCAAAAGTACAAAATAATGGCATTAGTCATCTTCACACTATATTTTATAGTTTCATTTCATCAATTTAAATTAAGGACGTATATAACTCGGAAAACTGAAGCATATAGAACACATGCTCAAATTAAAATAACCAGTAAGGATTATATTTCAGAAATGAATTTTAAAAGGTAACTCAGAGTCCTGATGATACTGTTATACGTTATTAAATAGTTTGTTAATAAGCGAGTAAACATGCCTTCACCCTGGGGCCTATTCAGATATTTGAAATGGAATTTTAAGTTTGCAAGTTTCTAGGAAACTATACCGTAACTGTAAACGCGGTTATAGAGGTCCATGATGTTGGTCACTCAGACATAATAACATGAGCGAAGACACAGACACAACAACTCGACCAAAGACACAGACACACAGGAACATACTAGTAGAAATGAAGAAAAAATTTCTCACTCTAGTCTAACAGTCACTAAAGTCTAAAAACCAACTCGTTTGTGTTCATTTAGTTACACAGCATTGTGAGATCCAGTCTCTACTACAGTATCTCTTGGGGTAGAGATTTAGATAGAGACTCTGATAGATCAGAATGTGGTTTACTGTGTTAATGAGAGAGAATGATGTGCGATGAATAATTAAATGCTTAGATATGAATTCTGTTTTCTCTTGTTTTAATCTTTTGTGATTTCATGTTGCAGATGGAATAATTATACGTTAAGAAAAAACGTACCATCGTCAGATGCCTTATTTGGGGTTAAGTGTCGCCCTTATGTGGAGGAATCAAAACGGCAATATTCAGTTCAATGGTTCGTTCGAAATTGTGACTATGAAGAAAAGGATCTCGATGTCACCCTTTTGTTACATACAGATAAATCCAGGTATATATTCTTATACAGTATACAAGTAGATAGAGTAAGCGGTTGCGTTAACTTTTTATGATCTTTGGCCTTCTGGCTAACATACAGTTGCAATTAATCAATTTTCTCTCTTGTGTAGGAACTGGTGGAGACGTTTCATTTTGCTATATCTTTAAACGTGATATGGTGTTTTAATCCGTCTCATTCCGATCATATTTCAGATTAAATGTAATCCTTACCCACTCCCTGAAACATTGGGCTGGTCCCGTGAGTATCGCCATCTATTCGCGCCCAGATGAAGTAACGAGTGTTCTCCAAAGTATGGAAGCGGGTGTTCACAGAAGAAATAACATTGGTGTGCATATAGTTGAACGAAGAGATGAGGTAGGCATATTTAAAAAAGACGTTGGATACGTTGAGCAGTGTTGAATCTATTAACTAGAGGATATAGGTCCATGATTTGTATTATTAGGCCTACATCCTTACAGTAGCTTTGAGAAAAAACAAGTATGCATTAAATAAATGCCTCTTTCGATACTGTCTTCAATAAATACTATCTGCACTTCATAATGACATCTGTATATACTTTTTGCTATATTAAAGGTAGAATCAGATCTATAGGAGGTGACAAAATTGAAAGCAATATATGTACAATTAATATACCAATAGTGCAGTCAGAATGAGGGTTTGGGCGTGCGTTCAGAGGGATTTTATGGGACATAATTTTTCATGTTGCTAGTATGATTTTACATATTTTTATGGATTATTAGATCTTAGTTTTTCAGCTTTTAGATTTTGTGGCCATTTTACCCCCCATGGGCTATAATTTGGACCCCTACTAGAACTCTGGGCTAGAACTCCAAAAATACTCTGTAGAATGTATCCAAATTACTAAGATATATTTGTATAGGCTAAATGAATATATGATAAAAATTTCAAGTCACATGGTGAAGCGGTTGCCATGAAAACGGATAAGACATACCCTTCAGGTGTTGATTTTCAGGCCAATTTTTCAGAAATGATAGAGTCATTTCATGCATATTTTGTCATCATTGTGTTAGGAAGGGTTAAAATATGAATAGAAAACTTCTATAATATATTACCAACAATCTTATATAAAGATTAGTCCACTGGATCTCAGATTTTGGCCTTATATGGGTCCATGATTTATACAGGGGCCTATTTCACAGATTCGAACCCCCACATTGGATGGATGCTATAACTTTTGAAATAAGAGAAATACAGGTCTCATTTTTTCAGATCTTCATAAATGACTGGTTTTAAGTATTGTATCATACTTTGGGAGCTGTTATGTGATTGGTTGCTATGGTAACCAGGGTTTTATGGAAATTCGGACCCCCACATTGGATGGATGTTACAATTTTTAAAATAAGGGATATAGGTGTCTCATTTTTTCAAGTCTTAGACAATGATTGATTTTAAGGATTGATTCAGACTTTGGGAGCTTGTATTAGACTGGTTACCATGGTAACCAGGGTTTTGTTGAAATTCAGATCTCCACAATTGATGAATGCTATTACTTTTAAATACAGGCAGATACAAGTATAATATTTTCAGATCTAAAATAATAATAAAATGTGTATATTGTATTTGACTTTGGAAGCTAGGATTTACTTGGTTGCCATAGTTACTATGTTTCATTGTCATGGTAACTGTCATTTTTGTTTTTAGATTCACCTTCATTCTAGATAGGTCAATACATGATATGAAATACCAAATTGCAATTTTATTCATAATTTTGGGATTTTTTCTATTTTATATGATTTACATGCTCATGACTTATTAATACTAGAGATGCAAAAATTGTTTGGCTCATAAAATATTAAATACTAGTAAACAATACATGTACATTTATGTCTGACAATATTGCCTCATTCCATACCACTAGTTCTCACAAATATTCTGACTTCTAATTTGTTCATTTGTACTCATCATTACTTTTTCATTTTGCATAATTGCCTTTTGATTTAAATATCAACCGTTTCTGTTGGAATGAAGGCTTGTTTTGACCATTCTGGAGAGGAGGATCCTCAGGGGATTTCATACATTCAAGCAGTATTGGGCTTGGCAGAATGGGTTAAGATTGGTCCCTGGGGGTTCACTGTATATAAAATTTGGCTGGGGTCCTAGGCTGAACCCTCAGATATCAATATGTTCCCATACCAATCTGTCAAATTTGAATGTATTCCCATACCAACCAAATTAATGCCCAAAAGCCATACCAAATGTCCAAATATAGGATCAATGTGATATCAAATATCCAGATATAAAAACATGGCCATTCAAAATGTCTAATGCCCCAAGAAGAAAGCAGATCTTTGAGGAAAACAACCCCAAAACAACCTCATATTAAGGATATATACTAGATCAATGTCATACTACAAGTGAGGGGTACATATTTTCCAATACCATTCTCATACCAGTAAGTGGAAAAATCTGACAATTGCCATACCTCAAGTCATAATTTGGAGGACATTCTCATTTCTCATGTCAGATCCTAAAATTTGGATCTATTGCCATACCAAATGTCTGAAGTACCCCACCTGAGCCAAGGATCCCCCTCAAGGTTTATATATAGTGATCTCCCTGGGAGACTGGTGGAAATGTTTCCACTTCCACATATAGGATTTGTCATTCACCCTCTTCAAAGGTGGAAGCTCTAGAGTTCATCATTGGCTCCAAAGTAATTATTTGCATTACATTAGCTGCTATGAAAGCAGTCAATGACCAATCTTGAAAGACAGGAAGAGTTGAAATGTCAACACCTTCATAAGTGAGGGCAGTACTGTTCTGTTTTGGAGAATATCTCATGTGAACCAGCTCATATCATAATCTATTGATGTCAGTTAAAAATGCATTTTTGTAATTCTGCTGTACTTTTGCAGGTGAACAATTCAACTTTGGATTTTATTGTGTCAGGAATTTCTATATTGTTTCCTATTATGAAGAAACGTTAAGAACCTCAACTGATGTGAACTCTGTCCCTTTAGATGTCAGAAGCTCAACCAAACCCCAGTAGCTGCAAACTTAGGACGACGTACTGTGTGAAGCTATATTAGCCTTCAATGCGTTACTGGATCTGAACAAAAGAAAAATAAATCAACTGAAACTGAAGACAAACAATTCTTAAGGTTGTTTTCTTCAAAAGGAAACAATATAGAAATTCCTGATACCATAAAATCCAAAGTTAAATTGTTCACCTGCAAAAGTACACCTGAATACAAAAATAACTGCAACTATGATGAGCTGTTTCACATGAGATACTAGTATTCTCAAAAACAGAACAGAGCTGCCCTCACTTATGAAGGTGTTGACATTTCAACTCTTTCACATTTGAAGAGGGTGAATTATCAAACCTGTGTATGGAAACATTTCCACCAGCCTAAACCCAGCTCTACCAAGCCAAACACTGCATGAATGAACTATGAATTCCCCGAGGAATGCTTAATACCAGAACGGTCAAAAATAGCTAAAATGATGAGTAAAAACAACTTAGTAGAATATGTGTGAGAACTATTAGTAGAATAGAATGAGGCAATACTGTCAGATATACATGTAAAAATGCTAAATTAGGAGTAAAATGATAATTTTGAGCAATTTTGTGTTCTAAGTTGTGTATTGACCATTCTCAAATGAAGGTAAATCTGAAATCAAAAATGAAGTTTCCATGACAATGAAACATGGTTACCATGGCAACCAAGTAAATTGTAACCTCCAAAGTCTGACACAATACACAAGTCGTATTATTTTTAAGTTCTGAAAAGCTGATATCTTTATCTGCTTGAATTTAAAAGTTATAGCATTTATCAATTGTGGAGGTCCAGATTTCAATAAAACCCTAGTTACCATGGTAACCAGTCAAATTTCAGCTCCCAAAGTCTGATTGAATACTTAAAATCAATCATTGTCAAAGATCTGAAAAAATGAGACATGTATCACCCTTATTTCGAAAGTTATAGCATCCATCAAATGTGGGGGTCAGAATTTCTCTAAAACCCAGGTTACCATGGAAACCAATCATATGTCAGCGCCCAAAGTATGATACAATACTTAAAACCAGTCATTTATGAAGATCTGAAAAAATGAGACCTGTATTTCCCTTATTTCAAAAGTTATAGCATCCATCCAATGTGGGGGTTTGATTCTGTGAAACAGGCCCCTGTATAAATCATGGACCCATATAAGGCCAAAATCTGAGATTCCGTGGACTGATCTTTACATAAGATTGTTGCTGACATATTACAAAAGTTTTCTATTCACATTTTAACCCTTCCTAACAGACTGGTGACAAAATATGCACGAAATGACTCTTTCATTCCTGAAAAATTGGCCTGAAAATTGACACCCGAAGGGTATGTTTTATCCATTTCCATGGCAACCACTTAATCATGTGACTTGAAATTGTTATCATATATTTAGTTAGCCTTAACCAATATACCATAGCAATTTGGAAACATTCTACTGAGTATTTTTGGAGTTCTAGCCCAATTTTATAGTAGGGGTCCAAATTATAGCCCATGGGGGGTAAAATGGCCACAAAATCTAAAAGCTGAAAAACTAAGATCTAATAATCCATAAAAATATGTGAAATCATACAAGCAACATAAAAAAATATGTCCCATAAAATCCCTCTGAACGCACGCTCAAACCCTCATTCTGACTGCACTACAAGTTATCCCTTACTATCTCAATACAACATTACCCCAAAGATCTGCGATATGTTTGTTATAAAGTAGTGAAGTTGTTTTTAAGTTCAAAAATGGGGGAACATTTGTTTTTGAAAATACTATAATTTTTAGAAATGAACAGTAATTATAAACCATTGATAGATCAATAGAGCAGAATCAATGTTACCATCACTCACCATCCTCGCACTTATAGGTTCATGTCTTTTCAGGAATTCTATCCAGTAAATCATCTGAGGAATTTGGCATTTGCTGGTAGTACTACAAGCCATGTGATTATGTTGGACGCGGACTTTGTACCTTCCCCAGGGTCATATGAAGACCTCTTGGCTGGGATTATTTTGAACTCTACATCTACCAGGGAAAAATCGGTATGTGCGCTCTAATATAGCTGTCACATTAGGCTGGGTCAGCCCACCGTCGGTTGTGTGAGCTATCTGTTCGCCACCGTGTGAATGATCATTGAGCGGACATCTTGCTGTAAAACCATTTGTTTTACCCAAGTGTGCCTATGCCCTGCCCCAACATTTGCCCCAAAGTATCCACACGGTTGCGAAATGCGAGCCCACATGGCCTGGTGTGACAGCTCCATAAATGCCAACGCCGTCCTTTTAAAAACTCGCGTCATCACACGCAGGTCTATTAAGTTGTCTACGTTCGGATGGAGCACGGATTTACCATTTTGTCAACATCATGGTTGAAGAAAATTTATAAAATACATATTCACAAAGTGTATTGTAATTAACGATGCTGTTTTTGTTCGTATTTATTTACTATAGGTGTTTGTTGTACCAGCCTTTCAATATACAGATGAAATAGAAAACTTTACAAAGCCAGAGGATCTCGTCTACCCATCTGATAAAGGAACTGTTGTCAATATGTTTGGTGGGAATTACATTGAAAGGTTTAGGTTAGTCTGTTTTCTTTGTAAGATTGAATATTGTACTCATTAGAAATTCGAAAATGCAAAGGGCAACGCTATGAACCATACAAGTCGCGTAAAACAAACTACCAATACAACTGAAATGATGTATGCCATAGGGGCTACATAGTCATGTAGATGAATATTTTATTTCCGTTTAGCCAAAGCCGTTGTCGACTTTGCCACTATGCATCCAACTACAAAGCCTGGATCACTGGGATAATGAAATATCAGGTAAGTTAGCCTTCTCAAGGATTTTTCAGAGTTATAAGCCATTACATCAAAACCTGTCTAAGACAGTTCAATCCTTGGTCAACTCAACACATAGCCAACTCAACTCCAATTGTTTTAGGCGCAATATAAAATAAATCTTAACAGTGTATGAAGAATATATTTTTATGAAAACATTCTAGTAATCATAGGACTAAGAATTGATTCATATTTATAATTAAGAATATTTTCTTATATTTATCAGGTTAAAGTGTACTTTTCTATTGTTCATGTCAGCTAAAATTCTCAAATATTAGTCTAACTACAACGATCCCCACAACTTCTATTGTGTTGAGTTGATGAAGTCCAAAGTCTTGCAGCAAGACTCCCCAACTATCATCTGTGTTTTCAGATTGATTATACATTCCATTATGAGCCGTATGTGGTGGTTGAGAGAAACGCTATGCCTCTGTACGATGAACGTCTTGTTTCGAGACATATGAACAAAGTCATATTCACCCTTGAACTTTATGCCAAGGGGTAAGTCAGGTAACCTTATAGTTAGAAATGTTGTACCTTTTAGAAAAACAGGCGTGGCGAGTATGTCGGTGATTTTCATATTTTGACCGAATCATACAGGGGTAAACATACTTTGGCTTTGATTGCAGATTCCAGTTCTGGGTGGTGCCTGATGCATTCCTACTTCACCTCCCTCATCCCAGATCTTACACTGACAAAAGAACGGGAAAGTAAGGCACACATATAGTACATTAAACATAATTTGATTTGATAATGATGGTAGTATCATGTTCATTAAGGTACAGCTGGAAAATAACATTTTGGTAAAAAAAAATGTTATTTTCCAGCTGAACCTTAAACGATAAAATTAATGAATTGTATATTCCAGTTTGATTCACTGGTAGAGCAGTAGGTTCATGTCATGTGTAAATGTATTCAATGTTTCAGTTGCAACGAAAATATCGGCGTGTTCATTAAATCAATTATAAAGTCCGACCATGGTATTAAGAGATCGCTTCCCTACGAATATACAAGGAATCAAGACCCAGCTATTGCTAGCATGTGAAAAGCAAAGAAAATAGACAGAGCTATTTGCTGACGTGTGAGAAACTATTGACATTGCACCAAGACACAGATATTTCCAATTTTGTTGTATCAGTCGTTTAATTGTGGAATAAAATATTAAAAAATATTTTTGAAAGGTGTATTTATTCAAGATGAGATCACATTCTGAACATTTACAATTTTACAATAGTCAATGCTGTTAACTCAATATTTTACCAACCCTACCTAAAATAATAACCCTCATTTTTAATCTGAATAGTACCCCGGACAGGTTGTATGATGCAGTCATTTTTTTACTCTATATTTGCAATAGATCAACCATTCTTGAAAATTTCAATAAGAATGGTTGTTCTATTGCAAATATAGAGTAAAAAAACGACTGCATCATACAACCTGTCCAGGGTACTATATATAATATCTTTGGCATTGTCAGACTGTACAGCGTCCTCTCATATTAGTTCATTTCAGTTACGCCCAGGAATTGGTAAAAATCAAACAGTCTCAATTAGAGTCGCATAGCCTGCGAATATATCTTCATGGCACGAAGTTTATTGGACAGTTCCTCCCACCCTACCAAGTGCAAAATCCTTATCAATTGGCGTGCTGTTGCCTGGAGTCCTTTCCATTCCTTCCAATGCAATAGCGACTGTCGTATCCTCTCTTTCAAGTTATCTCGTCCCTTGTATTTATCTTCTAGCTCGACGATCTTCTCATCTGAAAATTTGAACTTCTTAAGCAGGTAGCGTAGTTCGTGTTTGTTGATCGTGTTCACGATGACCTCGATCATCCTCAAAAGAAGTTGATCTGAAAGTAAAGTTAATTAATGATTAGGCTACTTCATGTTTGATCTGTAAGACAACTCTTGTTATGTATCAACCCTTTTTATTTTGGGATATTTCTTAGGCCAATGGCCAGGTGTAAAAGGGTAGGAGGTCCTATTAATTTATGGTCCTACTCTCCATTGATTTATATGGTGACCTCTTTCCCTTATTATCTTATACACAATCAGGGCCAGTAAGGGCCTTTTAAAAGGGGGACCATAATCCCTGGGGGGGGGGCCATAATTTCTTTCACACCGGTTCTGTCACGTCACATATACAGGGTGGGCCAAAAAAACGCCACTTATTTTTCAAAATGCTATAACTTTTTTAATTTTTAATATTAAATCATAATTTGCATACCAAATGAAACTTGAGGTTGTTATCTAGCCATGTATCATAAACTATATACTTTTACTTGAATAAAATATGTCACCAGCGTCTCACTTAAACATGTGGTGTGCCATGAGAAATAAGCATAATTTGCAAAATGTTCCTGAACTGATAAGGCCTGATGATCACCAAGCTAATAGCCCTGATGCAAACCCCAGTGAGTATGGGGTATGGGAAGGTCTCCAGGAGATTGTATGAAGGCACCCCATCTAGAAAATTGCTCAACTAAAGCTGGCAATAAAGACAGGTTGAAAAAAACTTAGCTAACATTTCATTGATACTGCAATATCATTAATATATCATTAATTAGGGTGGCGGACCAATTGAACTCCCCTTTTAGATCAAATATAATCCAAGTTGAAGGATTGTTACATTATATTATTACTAGGAACCCTTGGCACTATATAACTGCAAAATTTGGGGTATGTAGGTTGGAAAATAAAAAAGTTGTAGTGTCTTGAAAAAAGTGGCCCACCCTGTAGTAGCTGAAATCAAGTAAGATGTGCAATCAACTTACCTTCTCTGGCGAGAGCCTTGCGTAGATAACACCCTATTGGTTGCATGACACCACTGACACATATGTCCATGGGGGGTACGGTCATAGGGTTGTTATGAAGTCTCAAATCCTTCAAGTTACGTAGGTGATCAAAGTTCTCAGGTAGTGTAACCAGTTGATTGTCATTCACCTGTAGTACTTCTAGTTGCTCCATGTCACATATTCCCTCTGGAATATGCTTTATGGCATTATGGTGGGCGACAAAGACAGTCATCTGTGTCATATCAGATATAGCCTTTGGTATTTTCTTGATCTCGTTGTTTTGTATGTAAAGTTCACGTATTTTGGTGCTGGTAATCTCATCGGGTATTCTCTTTACCCCTGTTCCGTCCTCTTGGTCAAAGTTTAACACTTCCAGTCTTGGGATGGTGCAGATTTGAGCAGGGAAATCTGAGAAGGAATTGTTGGATAAATCCAGATGGTTGAGAATGTCCATTTGGTTCACTTCATCTGGAATCTCACCAATTTTATTATTGGAAAGATCGAGTAATCTTAGTTTTCTCAGTTCACATATTTCAATAGGGAATTCTATGAAACTGTTGTTATTCATACGAAGTATGTTTAAGTTTGCCAAAAGATTGAAATCCTTTGGTACATTTGGAATTGAGTTGAATTGCATGTCAAGTGTTTCAAGGAAGAATAACCTGCTGATTGGCTCAGGAAAGGCAGAGAAATTGTTGTAGCTTATGTTCATATGGTATATTTTCTTCAATCCATCAATCTCTTCTGGTATGGCAATTATGTTGTTATGATCTAAGGTCAGTAATTCCAGATCTTTCAGTGTACCTATAGCTGATGGCAGGAGTTCAAATTCATTATTGTCCAGTGCAAGTTCTCTCATTTTCTTCAAATTTTTTAGCTCAATCGGGAGTTTCATGATTTTGTTATGACCGAGTAGTAAAGTTTGTAGCTCTGAACAAAGGCATAGATCATCTGGTATATCTGTTATTTCATTGTGTGCCAGATATAACTCCTTCAGATTGTAAAGCTCTGCAATATTATCTGGTAGACATTTGATGTTATTCCCTTCTAGACCAATGCTTTCTAAGCAACTGCATCTTCCGATTGCAAAGGGTATCTCCTCGATGCGATTATGGTTGAGGCCAAGAACTCTCAGTTTTGATAATTTTGCTATTTCTGGTTGAATGATTTTGATGCTATTGTTGGAGAATGCCATCTCTTCGATATCGGGGAGAGAATAAAGCTGAATTGGTATGAACTCAAATTCATTATCATCCAAATATATTTGAGTTAGGTTTTCAACATTTTCGATTTCCCATGGTAAGTTGGATATGTTATTTCCCGAGAGTTTAATTTGTTTAAGTGGTTCAATCTTACATGCATGTGGGTTAAGGAACTCCAGTTCATTGTTTTCCATTGACAATACTCTAAGATTCCTCCATTTATACACATTGTCGGGTATATCTGCGATTGAATTCTCATTAAGATTGATTTCCTCAAGACTCTCAAGCTCGAATATACCTTCTGGTAACACTGTAAGCTGATTCCCATTTGCTATTAATTGCTTGAGCTGTTTTAATTTATTGATCTCATTTGGGATTGTTGAAATTTTGTTTTCACTTACATCCAGTATCTTGAGATTGTTCAGCGAGCATATTACTGGATTTAGTTCTTCTAGGTTATTATGTTGCAGAACAAGCACTTGTAGTGCTTTAAACTGTTCCATCCAAGTCGGAATGCTCTCAATAAGGTTGTTGGCAGCAAAAATGCAATTGAGATTTGTCATTTCTTGCAGTTCAATTGGGTATTCACCGAGGGATGCATTTGCAAGGTTCACACATTGCCTGCCGTCTCCCATAGTGAACAGTCTTTGTTTCAGCTGTTCTGCTTCCATTACTTTTGTTTGTTTCCTTAAAATAAAAGATATGAAACGTTTACATTAGCAAGTCTAATGGGAATCGTGTGATAACCACGGAAGGACACACGCCCGAATATACATATACTATTGAACAATACAGTTTGTAGCAAATGAATTATAAAGAACTATACTAAACTGAGAGAACGTATTCTTGAGCTGTAAAATCATATTCTAAAAAATAGTCAAGTGCCAAGATTTACTATTCAATAGTCATACCTTTGCTCCATATTCTCATTGGCATCTATAGGGTTCTCTGTGGGATTATGGTCTGAATTTGTTACAGCTTCTGGTGTCTGATTGTCGAGCTCCCCTCCAACGTTATTATTTTCAACGTCCTCTTGGTCTGTTGTTGTGGTCAAATCGTTTGGTTCATTGTTTTCATCCGTGATAGAAGATAGATCTTGTGTGATTTCATCTGGATCCTCTGCAGGACTGATGACTATATCTGGGGAAGGGTCTGACACCTCCATGTCTGGATGACAGAGTTTGCTTCTGAAAAAAAATGATTAATACATACTTGATCGTGTTAATGAAACATTAAATATAAAATGAAAACGTCATTTGAAATGCACACCATTGCTAGTTGCTACTGTCTCCACGTGGCCCCAGTTAACCTGGACAAGTTGAGAAATGAATTCTAAAATATAAGATATTTCTTCTCCATATACATATAGCACTTACCCCGATCCATTGTTTGAAATTTTACACGTTCAACTGATAACATCCAATGTAAAAGTATTGTTTTGTCTATGTTGTATGTAAATTAAAGATATCACACAACATATCAGACAGTGTTCTCCAACAGCAACTTAAACATGACAACAGACATAGTGTCAAACCAGTCTTATATAAGAGATTGACTTACTTGTGAATAAAGCACCTAGATCGTAACAGACGTCCAAAATTAATTCATCCTGTTGCTTTCCATTCCGTTTTAACCAAGCTCATCTACTTCAATTCAATGTTCATTCCAGTCTTCAAAAGTTTTAATAGTGTTTCCAAGATCACATAATATTCTCTAACCAAGATAAGTAATTGAACGACTTTATTTTCATTCTATAGTCTACTTTAAATGTGAATTATTGGATATGTGCTTAAAAGCGATTCTAAATTGTATTGAATATTGCACACTGTAGGTCGTTACTAAGGCGGCGGGCAGGGTAAACAGCTTATTTAAGTTATCGATTATTGTGGCCAATAGAGGGACCTTCATGTTTATTTAATGCTAACTTACCTTATAATAGATCAGTAAATATTATGTGTACACTTAGCATTGGAACTGAATAGAATGTCAACAGTAGACTTAGAGGTCATACTGAAATACGATTTCATTAATGTTTTTCCTTTAGTCCGTGTTAACATCTAATGGTAATATCATGTTTTATGTTGGAAATAAATCTACTGAACAATACAACCTAATTAACACAATTGTTGGAATGACTTCATGTCCCGTTAATCAATATTTCCTTCTTTAAAAAGACCCATGGTTTTATTTTTTAGGGCTCCCAAATAAACGCACATGCAAAATAAAGTCCAATGCACAAGTTAAGTATGGTAACTCCCGTGTTGCAAGTAACTGATACTTCAAGTGCAGAAATGATAAAATGTTAAAGATTAATTCCACAAAACCGAACATTTCCAATACCAATTAATACACTAAAAATAACACAAAATTGATATAAATTATTTATTTATAAATATTTACAGCATTTTGTATTGTACATATATTAGTATATAATATAATATGATACATAGTTTAAAAATGTTTAAAAAGCTAATATACCAGGTGTATCGTATTAATTATAAGCAAAAATAAATAAATGCTACAATCCCAATAAAGTATTAGTTTGAGGACCAGCCATTATTTTCAAAAAAATAACGTGTTTTATAAAAACATCAACGCTGGTGTTATGGTAAAAATGCATCTTTATCCATGGATTCACGTGCAAAGTCCATAAATTCTCGTGCCATTAATAGACATGTAAGACGCCGTGGTCCAAGGATTTTGAACTAAGCTGATCCCCTTGAAAGTACTTTACGGTAATCTATTTTTACATTTGACAGTATGAAGCACCAATATGATAGAGTGCATAATTCGTGTTTTACTATTCTATTAAAACGTGTATTGAAATATGATTAAAAAGCGTTATGTAATATAAGCTAATAGCAGTTGAAACATGTAGGAATTTGTCATTGAAATAACTCATAGGTCCTACACGTTTCTCGTATCTCAACCTTCCGACACAGGCCGCAAGAACTCGTACCTCCTTGGAAGAAGGAACTTAGTGGATGATGTCTGGAACCCTGCGTTCGGAGGATGGTTGTATCTTGATATAGTTCAGATCTTTTTTCTATACATTTTATTCCAGTTTTTCTGAATTTAATTTGACCTGCCTTATCGACGGACAGGAAAAATAATACTCTGGTTAGTACGAATAGAAAGATTATAACATGCCTGTTGGAGCGAAGTATATATTTTAGTCCTGCTACTATAACACTACTTTAAAATTGCAAAATGCATTTCATACTTTGCATAATAATGTGCTATTACGTTGTTCATGTATATTGACTATTCAGATATTTTCTAAGTTACATTTGTGAACTTCTAAGGTATTCAATGTTTAATTGATATTAATTTTGCATATATTTTGATGGCATATTTGTTATTCTATCGGTTATGATATGGAAATCCGATCATCAATGTTTGCAGCCTCTCGAATTGTTCTTGATGGTGATCCAGAAGAAGGTTGAACTGAAAAGATAAGGATAATTGAGAGGCATATTTTCGAGTCACACGAGTATATATTACGGGTTTTACATAATTCTGATTAGCCAAATAATATTGTGCCTACCTTAAATGTTGTGAAAAAAATTTCAACAAACCTTTTTTGAAGCACGCATGCTTTGCCATGCTCTCAGTTGCGTCGTACAATTCATTGATGTCTCTTGCTATGAACATGTGTGCTTGGTAGGGTGGAGTTGCTATCAGCCTCAATTGCGCCTCGTCGACCCCAGGACCAATGCCCAGAGCAAATATCAATGTACCAGTGCCATTTCTTCGAGCAATTATTGCTTGTGCGATAGTCTGGGTTTCAAACACCGTTGAGACGCCATCAGTTATTAACACAGCTACATTTGTAACGTTACTTCGATCACCTTTATCTTTTTGAAACACTTGGCTCTCCATTGTTGAGATAGCATGGGCGATATTTGTAGCTCCACCTACAGATTCGATGCTATCAATTGCATCTACAAGCGTGTTGACGTCATTGTGAGCTGTTAAAAGCCATTCTACTTTAGGCTCGTCGCTGAATGAAACACTTGCCACTCTCTGACCATCTTGCCTTATGTTGAGGTCCTCTACCAATGCCCTTGCGGCCAGCAGAACATTACTCTGAACCTTTTCTACACTGCCAGAAACATCCAACAACAGTGTGATATCTGCCACTCCATCCTGACATACTAGAATATAAACAATTGCATAAGTATATTATTCTTGATGTGTGTAGAATGGATACAATATGTTGTAATAGGCAAGCGCAATGACAAATGAAAAAGTATTACAGTTATAATCTGTAATTTGCTAATTTCGAATGTGGACCTTTTGTTTTTTTGTTGAAGAAGTGGTTCCCTGTTCAAATACTAATATTGGTTCCATTTTGGCCTTTGGTTCAAAACAGATTTTGTGAGTGTTTTCTTGTATTCTTTTCTTACTTGGAGTCCTGATGCAAGCCCCTTCAGAAATGCCTTTCTTGATCTCAGGCAGAGCATCAAAAGTATCGATATTAAACAGGTAATCTGAATCTGGATCACTAGCGATGTCAGCAAACTCTTCTGGTCTAATGCCCTGATCTTGGCTCTCAACAGCGATACAGAATATCTTGATTCCTGCATCATGGGCGAGTTTGGCTTGCTCCTTTGGTGCACCGTCTTTGGATGAACCATCGGTAATGAAAATGGCTATGTTTGGTACATTTGGTCTGTCACCATTTTCTTGGGTGAACATCACTTCCCTTAGGAGCTGGATATAAACAAACTCAGACATCAGAAAAGTGCTTTCTAAAGCATACATTTTTTATTATGATGTTCGAAATAAATTGAAGAATATTGATCATGCTGTCATATTTGATCCCTGTATGCAGAGCCCAGTTATAAATTATGAAGACGAAGCTCTTTTTTAAGAAGCGAGGTCGAACGAATGCAAATGGTACATATTTGATAAAGGTAACATTATAATTAAGATATCAAATTATAATTTTCTTACTCTCAATGCAGCTACTGTGGCTGTTGAGCCCTTCTCATGATCAATCCTTCCAACGGCAGCTGCTGCATCAAACCTACTGAAGTACTGATTCAACGCAAAGTTCTGTGTTGCAGCGTCACTGAAAGACATAGCACCGACGCGTGTTGTAGTATTGCTGATATCCAAGCTCAAGACGATGTTCTGGATGAACTCCTTCATAAGGATGAAGTTAGGATCACTGATACTGCCACTACTGTCCAATACAAACACAACATCGGCACGCCCACGTCTGCATTCTAAAATTGACAGGGAGAGATATGTATAAAATGGAGGTGACTAATAAATGAGTTGAACTGAAAAGCAGAGCTATTAACTTGCCCTCAGTAGTCCAAACATGGTCATTTACATTATACATTGTATAGCGACAAACCAGTTAAAGACTACTGAAAGGCATTTGATATTGCTAGATTTCAAAGCAAACAAACTACTTTACATGAAAGCAGCATTATTTTCAAATTGCTAGATAGACTAAAAGAACACCCGGACAGACGAAGTCAAAGCTCCACGACAGGCAAAGATGATTTACTGAAGCATATTATTGATGAACTAATGATCGTAGTATTAAAGTCAGTTATTATTAAAAGCTCACATGTAAACTACACTCACTAAACACACTAATGAATGGATATATGATTGATATTTGATAAACAATGAACATATCATGCATGTATAAAGGAAGTTCATAAACATTTATATTAATATAAAATATTAGTAGAAAGTCATACAAAATCCAATATTTACGTACTACTGAGTACAGTACTCGTGTGTATGTCTGTGCTGATGAACCTTAATAAACTTATCACTATACTATTAGTTTTTTTTAATGTGAAAAGTTTATGATTTGTGTGTGCATAAAAGAAAAATAATGTAAATGATATAAATGTACGTAACTACACCAAATACACTAATATTTATTCTGAACGCCTCATACAATCGCATTCAAAAATGTCATCGTGTTATGACGCACACATCGGCGCCTTATAATCAAGAGAAAGGGAAGGAGGTACAGTGTACCATGATAAATCATATGTCCAGGTTGACAAGCGCCTGTTCGTAATGCTTGTAATTCCAAAAGTGCCACAAAGAACAATAATCGATGAAAATGTGGAAGGCTAAGTACTCTGATGTGCTACACATGTACATAAGATTGTATGAAACGTTTAGAATCCTCATCCTCCTCCAATTTGCTCTAAAAATCAACACACATGCATGCTCATGCAATTCCCCTAAACATCACTCCACTCTTGCCCCCGGGGCGTTTTACCTCTAGGATCCCATGGTCCTGCAGGGCATTGCATTCAAAATAAATATATTAATAAAATAAACACAATAAAAATTATTCTCTTATTCTATCTGCTAAATAGGAAACTTCAATAGCATTTCTACAACTCACTTATAAAAGAAACTATTTTTTTGTTTATCTATAATAGCCATAAGTGAAAATGTATTTAAGTGAACATAAAACCTATATACATTTTACGTATCAATATGTGCATCCAACCTTCCTAGTATCTACCATCACTACTTTAATATTTAATAAAAAATATTAAATGACGAATATGCAAGCAACAAATTACCATCCTAAGCTATTGTTCTGTACAACATGAAAAGCAAACCTTATATACACGAGGATATAAAACGCATAAACGTGTCTCATCGTGAAAATGCATAATAAAGTTAACTAGATAAGTCAGCTGGAAAATGGCTGGGCCTACCTGGTGGCTGCACAGTTGGCGTTGCTGTTGACATGGCAGGGGTACTGGCAGGGCTCTCGGTACTCGGTGGAGCTATCGTGTTTGCCTCCTCTATGATTACAAATGAAAATGAATTGAAGGACATATATTATATTCCCCATGGCATAGTTTAGGTCTTTGATTTAAAAACTACATATATTGAAAAATAGCCATACTATGAAAGCAAATAATCATAAATGGAATATTGTGATAAATTGGACAAATAAGTGTGTTTTTCTATCAGTGATATCCAAATTCACACAAAAATATGATTTATTTATTTGTAAATAAATTGTTTTTGTTTCAACAGATCAAAGTGGTTTAGCGATGGCAATGACCTACCCAATGGTGGAAGGCATGCGATGGTTCCACGGAGTGAAGCAAGTTCTGCGAAGTCATCGACAAAGAAAAGATGTTGTTGTTTAGGGTCACTAGCTATGTCTGTCAACTCTGCTATATTTAATTCGACGGTCGTAATGCCTATTGAAATAAACAAAGACTGTTTTACAGATAATAGCATTGGCGCAACTTAACACTGGTATCATTAAGGCAAATTATCTAACAAAACTATAATGCAAAATCAAGCGAATGGAACGCCTGGGCAGAAGCGATGGGATCATTGGTGTGAATAATGGACTTATAACTGTCAGACCACCGGCGGTAATAACAATTGCGATATAATAATAATATAAGATGGTCATATGATTCTAGTATTGGTCACATCAATGTAGACTTGCCCAAGTCGGTATTTTTTTTATTTCTGATCTTAAATAATATAAATCAAAATAAGTAAAAGAGACCGACTTGGGCAAGGCTAACATTTACTTAGTTTGCACAAAGCTATCTCCTGAGAGATCTATCTAAAGATGGCTATGTGCAAATATAGTAAGCTAACATCAATGGAAAAAAATAACAAACACATGACAAGGCTAGGGATCTACTGAGTTGTGGCACAAAAAAGCACTTCTATCCATTCTCATACTTATAGCACCTCTCTCTCTTTCACAAGAAATGAGATGTCATGGTTTTTCATGATGCCTCTACCTACCGATGGCATATATCTGTATTCCTTTCTCCCTCGACAACCTTGCTTCGGTAGAGGGATTCCCATCTTTGGAACTTCCATCAGTTATGATGAATGCTGCAAGAAAAACATGTTTAGTAATCAGTCAGTGGCAATGATCTCCAAACTGTCCTCATTACGTAACATTCCCTCATATTCCCGGGGATAAGATTGAGTTTTTTGGCTTATAAGTCATGTTAAAATTATAAGTAAAAGATGTCACTTCCACAAACACCAAAGGAAAGGCCGAGGATATCTTCTATCTAAAAGTAGTCACTTTCTGTCTGGTCTTGAGTATTGATACAATGGAAGTTGAGTCAAAAATCTCTATTTTTCCATGGGGTTTTCAAGAGATAACCCCGTATAACAGGATTTGGTAATATCTCCGATAACAGATGCTTGAAAGAGACAGTGAAATGAAGATGTATTCAACAACATCTGCACACCGCTTACCAGTATTAGGGTGGTTTGGTCTATCACCTGCCGCCAGAGTAAACATCCTTGTTCTCATTGTGTTAAGTGCCTGCACGGTGGCGGTTGAACCTCCTGAATGTGTTACCTGAAACATTTTATGCAACGCTTCAGCTTATATTTACCCCAGTACCCTGCGCACAGAGTCGAGTTGTAAACTACAAAGACGAAGCTTTCTTTTAAGAAGCGAAGTCGAACGAATGCCAAAGGACAGCTTATCTTACAAATATTCCATCACAAAATGGTCAGCCCTGTATTACTTCGTGTCCCATCATTTCCTTAGAGTTTTATTGTCACCGTTGAACATACAAAACACAGATATAACTCTTTACAAAAATAACGTTTTCGTAATGCAAATGATGGCAGAAGTAAAATTCATTTAACTAGTACACCTTTCTGCTGCTACCTTTCTCCGTTTGGGAGCTCTCGAGTATTTATGAATTAAATCAAGCAATACTATAGTATATCAACAAGTTACCGTGTCGAGGGCAGCAAGTATATCCGCCTTATTGTTGTAACGATCCAAAGTGAACTTTATATTGACATCAGTAGCAAATGTTACCAGACCTAATCTGGATTTTGTCGGACCGATATCCAGATCGTTGACGATACTTTTGATGAATGATATAGTCTCCTCGAACTGGACGATCTCTATACTGCCCGAGATGTCAAGGATTAACACAATGTCCGATTCCTCCAAACCACATCCTTGATGGGAAGAATATATCAGTATTAGAGTTTGAGTTACCAGGAGGTGTTTTAATTACGTCAAATATAATATTATGTTAAATACATACATCTTTTACATAATATAGGTACATTGCTGTATCATCCTTTCATAGTGTCACTTAGCCAGTTAAGGATGCAAATCTGTTTTGTGCCTAACCATCAGTGACATGGGTTACGTGTAGGCCAAAGCCAACGTATTAGGGACAAATAGGGACAACCAACTACGCCAACGCCAACGTATTAGGGACAAATAGGGACAACCAACTACGCCAACGCCAACGTATTAGGGACAAATAGGGACAACCAACTACGCCAACGCCAACGTATTAGGGACAAATAGGGACAAACTACGACTTAAGACTTACCTTGTTGAAAGCAAGTCTTTAGCACCAAATCCTCAACAATGCTATCCAGCATGGTATAGTCACTGAGATCATACAAGTGAAAGTCATTTGGGTCTGTAGCAAGCGCATTCAGTTCCTAAAACAAACGATTATGTGTCTAAATGATTTCCATTTCAAATCGCAAACGAGATCAAAAAGTAACAATGCGTTAATATGCAAAATGTCACCACCTGCCATTTGTTACAGAATTATTACCGCCGGTCATAATAGAAATCAAGATAAGTAAAAGAGATCGACTTGGGCAAGGCTACACTTTTAGTGGTAACATAGAAATGGATCATGGTTCAGAATGACATGTATTCTCACCTTTATGTCAATGGCTGGTCCAACGCCAATTGCAAAAATTCGACTCGGTAGCATTCTAGTTAGTGATGCCTCATAAGCAGTTCTGTCTTCTTCAACATTGTCCACACCATCTGTTATTATTATGACAACATCGAGCACATCCCCCCGGTTACCATTGGCCGGGGAAAGAAGAGTGACAGCCTCTCGTAGGGCTCCACTAGTATTAGTAGCCCCACCCAATGGTACCAGAGCATCTATTGCCTGTACCATCTCAGATTTTGTAGTCTGGGTGTTAAGTTTGAACACGGTTTTGGCTAAGTCACTAAAGCGAACTAATCCTATTTGATAGTCATTTTGTCCAATGATAACAGCTTCCATGAACGATTTGAGGAATTGCTGTGCTTTGGCAAAGTCACTGATTGTAACACTACTGCTTTCGTCAAGCAGGAAGATAATGTCTGCCCTACCATCTTTACAAACTGAAGAGAAATGTCAAATAAAATGAGCTGAAACTAGGATAACGTTTCAATGATACGTCTTAATTTGTTCTTTTTGGTTACTTGTATTTGTATAATTTGATTAAATGTTTCAAAGTAATTGAAAAACATCTATCATAGCGTAGGTATCCCAAAGATTGGATATGGGCCGTCGTGGCCTGCTCTGAATGAATGGTTATGGCGAGTAATGAGCGAATTGCTAATTGAAATGTCCGAATATGACATTGTATCCATAGCTACCCATCCACTCTACTTACGTGTCTGTTGTTGGGCTGTCACAATTCCTATCACCAAGCCTACCCATATCAGCAACATGTGTCTCATCCGATGACACATTATGGCACCTTGTTATTCCACGCTATGGTATTATTGAGATTTGATCACATTTCTGGAACCAAATGTTATCGTTGGTCATGATCATTTGAGAAATACTGTTCTAAGTCAGTAGTATCATGGGATTGTAAAATCTGTCCTTGTATATCCACTGAACAACGCATTACTTGTATTACTTACCGAGTGTAGTTTGCTATATTACGAATGAACATGATGCTGTGAATTATTCATGAACGAAATATCTCAAAATACACACAGGTGCCATTCTTTTATATTTTTCTTGATTCATTTTAATAATATGACTTTTAAAGTATGCATCTCATTTTCCACTGTATTTGAACTGATTGTTATTAATATCTATCCAGTATAGGTTCATATGTCTAACCAGTATCAATTATCCGTAATATTGATTCCCAGGTGGTAATATTGAACTACGTTAATATAAATATAAAGGTGTATTCCGTTAAAACATACCTGTCCTCCATCTTATAAATATCCTCGATGACGAGATGTATCATCCACGAAAATCAACACGATTGCTCCGGGTGAAAGAAACCCACATAAATGCATTTCATGATTAAGTTCAATTAAAAACACAGTCGGTATATTCTACATGAGTACCTTAATTGAACCTCCGTTGGAAACTGCTTTAAGCACGGCATTTATATTATAAACATGGTTTTTTATTGAAACAGTGAATACAACCAATATTTATAAAAAGCGGTACACAAACATCGCTTATATCCACATACGTTGTTAATTTGTGCGACATTTCAAAGATGGCATCAGTGGCTGATGATGTTTATAATTCTGGGAGGCCCCATTCTGTTCTGGTATTGCATCAAGACCCGAAACCCCAACCCTCTTCTGTCTTGTTCTAAAGTCACGCCCGTAGCCAGGGGAAGGGAATTGTCGAAGTCAAATTTGAACCCCCGGAATTAACTTTGTGAAAAGCTGACTACGGGCCTGTTAGTAAAATAGATGATGAGTATACAAGGTCATCCTCCGATCACAGGGCTTCAAAATCCAGAACATATTCTTAAGGAGGTACAGATTCTGGACACCTGCTTAGGAGGATGGTACAAGGTCTAATGCAAGACTACTTCTGACCCCCAAGCAATCCCAAATATTTTTAATCCATAATGGTTTGTAATTTGCAAACATCGTTCTTTGGAATAAATCTTCTTCTCTGAAAATATTAAAGTTTGAAAAGCATGACATTAACAAGTTCCAAATTGTTACTACTCTCACCTTTTTCAATTTATGATTTTTTCGATTTTTTGTTATGTTATATTTAGCATTGCAGTGAAAGGTACTCCATGTGAAGTATAGCAGAATTAGAAAAATCAATGCATCAATTTATTTGGGATGGTAAACCAGATAAAGTCAAAAGGTCATATGAACAAAGTGGTTATAAAATGGTTGATCTAAAAAGTAAAATTAACAGTTTATTGTGTAAATGGGCACAGAATTTACTGGAAACCCATGATAATTCATGGAGCATTTTGCCCAAACAGTTATATTAAGAAAATATGTGGAAATGATGTACTTTTAAAAGCAAGTGACACTTTTAGCAATGTTCAAAAGTATATATACAAAAGTGTTCCACAATTTTACAAAGATGTATTAAAGTCTTGGATTTCTTTTAATAACTCAGCATATAAAGTAATTGATGAAGTAGCTCAAAAAACAAATGTATCCTTTAAGAACGTTTTGTTAAAAAATACATATTTTACTTTCAAGATTTTTGATGATGAAAATAATTTTTTGTCTTTTATGATCTCAATATAAAAACTGCTATTAATTGTTCTTTAGAGTATAACATTTTAAGAGGAGCTTTGTCGACCTTTTTGGAACCAACCAACAGTCTATTAAAAGGATGATACAGATGTAGATAAATACTTTTATTGGTGCTTAGCCATGCATAATGTCACCAAAGAGACTAAATTAATAGTTTTTCAATGGAAATTTGTACAAAATATTGTGATAACAAATGATAAACTTTTTGTAATGAAAATAAAGATGATTTAACACACAGATTTATAACATCACCCTATGCAGACAGAGCCTGTGGGAAATATTGGGTGCGGCGCAAATGAGCGGAGGGTGCGGAGCTAACGGTCATTTTTGAATTTAAAATTGGGATATTTCTGAAACTAAGCCGTTTTGGGACTTCAAATATACCAAGATATGTGTATTTGACACCAAATATCAATAAAATTGTGAAAATAGTAGTGCAATTCATTTTATAGCGACGCAGTATGCCTTAAACTTTTCCCAGACCTACGTATATATTTTGAGACTATCCTTTTAATACTGCGTCCCCAGCATTCATAAAAAATGGTGTTCAAGATACACTACCCATGCAAATTATTTTTGCATCTTGGAAGCCAGGCAGTATCTGTGTGATTTTATAAAAATTCGGAAATGTTCTTCAGATATGAGCCCCCTCTAAATATTGGGTGCGGAGGTACGTTTATGGAGCTCCTCCGCACCCAATATTTAGAGGGGGCTCATATCTGAAAAACATTTCCGAATTTTTATAAAATCACACAGATACTGCCTGGCTTCCAAGATGCAAAAATAATTTGTATAGATAGTGTACCTTGAACACCATTTTTTATGGGGGGGGGTGTATAGAGATATTGTATATCGTATAAGAGGCTGAAAATTTATTGTATATTGTATAAGAGGGGGAAAAATTTATCGTATATGGTATAAGAGCTGTAAAAAATATGGTATATGGTATAATAGAAAATATATGGTATATGGTATCTAGAATTAAAAAAGGCTAATTATGAAGAAAGTGCACCCTAAAGTTCCCCATTGTGCCAACTCTCTTACTGTAACCGTGTTGGAAAAACATGGAAAAGTAGTCTCTCTAATTGGTTCCACATTCCAGGTCAATCAATACTGTAAGTTTAGAAAAAATCCTTCTCGAACTAAGAGTTTTGTGCCCTTTTCATTCAAATTTTCACAGGAGGTGTTAAATATCGTCTCAAATAAGAATCACGCCGGATGATCAGAAGAAATGAACGGAGGGGGGGGTAGATCTAGCTGATTTTTGGTAGAAAATTCAACAAATCTTGAAGATTTATTTTTTCAAGAGAAAGTTTACAATTGAATGGCTAAATGAATAGACGCAGTGGACGGGGGAATACGAGTGGTGATCCAAAACTCTTGGAAGCCCTGCTCTAATTTTGTTGGTTTTTGATAAAATTACTTTGAACTTTCCAATAATAAAGACCAACAACCTAACTACTTTGTGTATTAATTTCATGGTGAAATGATATATTTTATGTAGTTTTCTCGATAGTTATTAATTTAGCGACCCTGCCACCCGGAACGGTATTCGCACATGACAACTTTCAGCCTTAAATGTTGCCGCTATTTGACTTGTTTTGCAAGTCTTGACCACTATCTTTTCTTAAATTTTGAATAGTTAAACCATGTTAGTTTACTTCCTTGGTTACTCGGCAACCAATTAATTGTGTTTTAATCATAATGTCACATATGACAATGGCCATATATGTCAAGTTCTAAGAAAATGACATCAGACAATCAACCCACATTCTGGTATCATTTTTGCTCCAAGATGGCTGCTGAAATGCAGAACATGAAAGAAATCAAAGTGAAACAAAGAATACTACAATATATTTTCACTATTATTGACCTTGAGCAACTACCATAGGCACGTTACAGTCTAGATATGGCTCCGTGTGATTTTCTTTCTTTTCTCCAAGTCGAAAGGAGGGTTGAAAGAAAATGTTTTTACTCATTGGATGAGGTTAAGAGTGGCACTCCAGCAGCATTTGTATCACATAAACAATGGCGGTTTCATAAATATCTTTCATTCATTGGTAAAGCAGTATGAAAAATGTGTTCAAATTCGTGGAAAATATGTTGAAAAGTAGGTCTTAATATGCGAGGATGATGGCAGATGACACTCAGATTGAAAATCTGAATATCTGTCATATCATGACTGGTGTTAGGTTGTGCACCTGAACCTAAAGTATTTGCCATATTATAACAGTTGTGACGAGATTTCTTATAATTAAATACCGTTCCGGGTAGCAAGGACCCAGTATCAAAAAATATTTAGAAAAATAAGTAAAATATATGATTTTCTATTGAAACTTATACACAAAGTTGTTCAGATGTTTATCTTTATTATCTGAAAGTTTCATGTAATTATATTAGAAAATAGCAAAGTTAAAGCGGGGCGTCCAAGCCTTTTGGATCACTCCTCGTATGTTAGGTCTTCTTGGATTTTTTTGAACTGTGGAGTTTTAAAATAAAATATCTATTAAAAAAGTGCAGGGTCGACAATGTGCAAATGCCAATTTTTTGCTATAAATCAACCAACAGGGGTCTACACGACCTGTAATAAATACTTGTAAGTGAAGTAATTATCACAAAACTATTGTCATCATTGGTTTTGTAAAACACGTTACCATACGTTATATAAAAAGTAATCTAACGTTAAAATCTAACGTTAAAATTGAACGGAGGGGGGAGTAATATGTCTATAAGACATTTTTCATTTCTCAGAGTTGTAACATCAAGTTACTGAGTAAGTGAGTTCAATTTTCAAGTACACGAATTTGTGGAAATCTCTTCCACCTTAAAGACATATTACTCCACCCCCCCCCCTCCTTTCCCTCCCCCCCCCTCCGTTCAATTATTCGATTATTTTTATCTATCATTTGGAAAATTATTTTAAAAAACCGGCAAAGAATTTTGTGATAAAAACGTTGCTTATATATTTATTACAGGTCGTACAGACCATTGTTGCTTGATTTATAGCAAAAACATTGGCATTTGCACGTTGGCGACGTTGACTCATCTTAATTTTGATGAAAAATATGGTCACTATGGCTACTCGTGTTTCGGGGTATGTGGGATAAATCATTAAAATATTTGAGTATAAAGTGTTCATACAGCGCATGTTTTAATACACGCATCACAATGCTAATATAGCATTATATAGCAAAAGGTTTTTATTTGGTCTTCAAACTGTCATATGTTGGATTTCGGCTATTTATTGGGGATTTAAACAGGTGCATATGTTAGGCCAATGCATTAACTCCAGATCAAGCAATTTGATTGAGCAATTGATGATAATTTGGACTTTGAGACAGGGAAGGTTTTTCTGAAATTTTGTTCTGATTTTTAGCCCTTTCCACATATGTTTTTTCAATGTTTGATGCACCAATATGTTGCACTTTGAGACACAGTTTTGAGACACAGTTATTTATTTATTTGGGATAAAGTGGAAAACTGTACATGTATTTCCCATGTTATTTTCCCATAGGGAAAACTCATGTGATCCATTGTTTTCAGCTAAATTTTGGTCATTCAAAATTGATATCTTTTAAACCCCTGCATGAATCATATTTTCATTTAAAACGCAACAGAGTGATCGATGCAACAAACATTGAAAAACAGGTGTGGAAAGGGCTGGAAATCAGGACAACATTACAGAAAAAACATGTTGATGGGGTGCAAATTTGCACCTTCCCTGACTTAAAGTCCAAATTATTTTATAATCTCTATGATTGCTTGTCCTGGAGTTAATGCATTGGCCTAACATACACTCCCCTCCATAAGTTTGGCAACCTTTTTTCTCCATTGAACTACGTGTTAAAGCCTCTTTACGTTTGAATTTTTATTTACTTAACCGGCGATGAAATAACTTATAATATTGATGGAAACGTAACTTGACTTTTTTTCCAATACCTCCAAATTTTCTCAATTTTTTTGCTCATTTACAATAGGTCGAAAATTGATGATAAATTTGATGAATTTTTGAAAATCGTCATTCACATGTAATCCAATGGGAAATGGAGGGTTCAGGGCAAATCAGAAATCAGGATATCTTTTCAGTAAAAGATTCAGCAAAAAATATGTTTATATAGAAAATTGAATTGTCTAACTTTTTTGAACACTAAGTGTTTAGTTTATTTGATGAATATTAAAGTTACAGCCCTTCAAAGTCATTTTTGAAAAGAATTTTTCGCCTCCTGTGTTATTTCAATGGGAGAGGTTTTTTGAAAAACAATTTTGACTTTAAAGCCCTATAACTTTGTTGAACCTGAAGAAACATATCAATTTTTTGTTAAATAAAGTTAGCAAATTCAATTACCTGCCTAACTCATATTTTTTGCAAGGACTCGGATGGATGGATATTCTGTCATATGACTTGCGGCAAACCTACCATTTCCCATTGGTTAACATGGGAATGTCGATTTTCAAAAATTCATCAAATTCATCATCAATTTCCGACCTAGTGTAATTGAGGAAAAAAATTGAGAAAATTTGGAGGTATTGGAATTAAAGTAAAATTACGTTTCCATCAATAGTCTAAGTATTTTCAATGCAGGTTAAGTAAATAAAAATTCAAAGGTAAAGAGGCTTTAACACGTAGTTCAATGGGGGAAAAAGGGTTGCCAAACTTATGGAGGGGAGTGTATGCACCTGTTCAAATCCTCAGAAAATAGCCAAAATCCAATATATGACTGAAATCTGTTGCAATACCGTCTGTGGTCCTTTAAAAGAAAGTTATTTCTAGTTGCATGGAGTAGTTTTCATTCTCATCAATACATCTTTGCCTTGAAATCATTCGTGAAACATGTGGTTTGAACTTTATGGAAATTTGCTTTATTTTGACACACCTTTATTTAACTTATACTGTCTTTAAGGCTGCCTTATCTGAAACCCCGAAGTGTCTCTTGTTTCAATTGTTTAAACAATCAAGTCTCGTCTTGCCTTTATTTCAAACTCTAATTTCCAGACTCGAGTCCAATCAAAAATGAATTATCTACATGGAAGTTTGTGAAGTCCTTTATTTCTGAAACTGTTTTCAATACTTAATATTTTCAGGTAACTGCTTTACAAAATCATTGTGCATTGTGAATCTTCATTACCTATCTGATACATATTTTCCTCAGCAAACTTTATTTTCATAGAACACATGATCTTTTATTCCACATTCTCAATTTTGCATCAATTATGTTTCAAGGATTTTTTTCCCTGGCTCACTATGAAGGATTCCATTGACATTAAAATATGTCATGGGAAAGTAGGTCATAAGAAAGAGGAACACTGAGTTCCACCCATTCTAATGATGTAGGTTTTGTGCTAATTTTGAATATCTTTATGGTACTTTTACAGGTAATGGGCTAATGGCTTTAGCAAATTGCAGAAATGTTAAAGTTAGTTTTTTGGTCAAAGTAGGTTGTGAAATCACTAAAGATAAGTCATGAATCTTATATCATAAATGTGTTTTAAATCAACTTGTTTACCTGAAAATGCGGATGTACCCGAATGGTGTCTTATTCATAATGTAATAAATGAAATCATTGTGGTATGTATGTGGAGTCTATTTCCCTTATAATAATACATTTACTTTAGTACATGGATTCTCTCCTAATATTATTTCCTTATAAATATCCAAACTTTAATCAAAAGCAGTTTCAAAATTATCGTATATTGTATTTCACCTAAAATATCGTATATGGTATAAGAGCTGTGAAAAATATTGTATATGGTGAAAAAATATTGTATATGGTATAAGAGAGCTGAAAAATATTGTATATGCATTTCCAAGACCCTCTATACACCCCCCCCCCTTTTATGAATGCTGGGGACGCAGTATTAAAAGGATAATTTCAAAATATATAGGTCTGGGAAAGGTTTAAGGCACACTGCGTCGCTATAGAATGAATTGCGCTACTATTTTCACAATTGTATTGATATTTGGTGTCAAATACACATATCTTGGTATATTTGAAGTCCCAAAACGGCTTAGTTTCAGTAATATCCCAAGTTTAAATTCAAAAATGACCGTTAGCTCCGCACCCTCCGCTCATTTGCTCCGCACCCAATATTTCCCACAGGCTCTGTCTGCATAGGGTGAACATGCACTTTTGTACTCCCAAAATGGGACTTATAAGAAACAAATGTGAAATAAGTTTAAGTTCAACAAACCATCTTTAAAGGTGTCTAAGGAATAGAAAAAAGTAATAATTGTTGCTAAGTGGATAATCCACGAGCAAAAGTTGGAATTGTACCAAAATAACAATTTTACATAATTTTAAAATAGAACTTGATAAAAGAAACATTGCATTTTAATTGTAAAATTTTAAAATGATATGAAAATAAATGTTTGTTTATGCTGCATGTATTTTGGAGAACTCATGGCTCAAAAAATGTTTATATAAAGGGGTGCTAAGAGCCCTAATGTGAAGTACAGAAATAAAAATCAGAATAAAAATAAATATTATCAACAAAAATAGAGCGTCCCCGGGTGGGCTTGAACCACCAACCTTTCGGTTAACAGCCGAACGCGCTAACCGATTGCGCCACGGAGACAGCTGATGACTTGCCTCGATTTTGTATGGCTATGAATAATTATCGCTCTCTTGTTTACCTCAGTGTCAAAGGTCAAGTTGAATTATGGGAACGATTCAGCGGCCATATTGAATTGGAAAATAGCAAATGCTAATATTTTAAGAATTGTGCCAGAGACACTGTCAACAAGCGATAGAAAGGTTGAAGAAACCGTTGTATCATATCTAAAGAATAAAATCACAAGGGATCCAGGATGGATAAACGATTGAAAAAGAAGAAGAAGCACTTGAAAGCAGTGCACCAAAAAGTGAAGCTTTTTCGAGCAAATGAACCTCTTCTCAGTGTGTTTATGTGGGGAATAAATCATTCTGTGAGTAATTCTTCATTTATTTTACTAGAACTATAGCACATTTTAGTAATGTCGTGTGTCACCTCGTCAATATACTGACCTTGTTTGGTCTAACTTGGTCTTTTGTTGAAATTTGTTTCTAAATCTAGTCTAACCAACAGATCCGGCATGACAAATCTCAGATATATAAATAAAGGCCCAGAGGCGCATGAATGCACCTAATCCGGAGCCAGATCCAGCCCCAATTGGTAGTACACTCAAAGGATTAATGGGAAGATGAGACTCGAGCCAAAAATGCTACATCAAAAAAATGACCACCAAAAATATGACCCTCGTACTGACCTTTATTTTTTCCATCTGCCAGAGACATTGATTGATCAATATTTACCCTGTAATCTCTTCTTTATGTATTAGTTTGAATGGTTGCATGATATCCATTATTGACGCTGTAATTCGACTTCTCCCGGGACATTTATCTCAAATTTCCAAAGCGTAAAGATAATGGAGTGCTTCGATAATTTCCGGCAGTGTCCGATGTTGTTCGTCTCTCAACCTACGTCACATCGCAACAAACAGCCAATGCAAGTAAAGAATCGCGTAGCCTAACAAACCGTTGTTATTGTTTCTACGGGAGTTTTAAGAAATGTCATTGGACTTCTCGGTAATCTCTAATGTGACGTCATCTGGAGTGGCGTAACATTCTCAGAAAAGGCATTGGACTTCGGGAATAATCATTTGAACAAAGGAGATAGCCGAAGTGCTCCATTAAATATACGCTCGCTTGTTTTATGCTTTTATCAACAGACGCTTTCTTGGATGTGTGGCTTTAGTGATTGGAGTTGAAGCTAACAACAGTACCATCGTTTGAGGTATGACATGTGATATTATTGAAAACTGACTCCAAAATCAAGGAAAAATAAATTTTCCGAAGATCGCGTGTCTTGTCCTTGAGTATATTTATTGAGCCTAGACACAGAGGAGGTAATCTGGCAGAGGTCCGTGGTCTAACCCCCAAATAATTGGTATCCATTTTTGTTGCACGTGCAGGATTGGCCCTCGTAACTTGTCATAATAAAGTCTTGCATCGTTGCTTATGAGACATCCATCTATGAAAGGTAAAACATTGCTTCACCCTGGAATGGAGATTAGAACCAAATGAACGACTAGGTGTCAAAATTACTTTAGTCAAAGCTTTCCTAATTCCTTCTTCCAATGCTTTCTCTGTATTCAGTAGAGAGGTTATGACATCCACAAAGCTAAAATTTAGTGATATTTTCATTTAAATATGGCGGCCAAACCGATGTCTGACAACCCTTACAAAAAGTCTAGGCAATGTACATTTTTACCTTCTGTGAAATAAGTGGAATTTAGTAGTCATTTTGTGTTTTATTATCATTCTGCATCTTAATTCTATGTGTTGTGGTGTTAAAACGTCAGCAGAAATGCATATGCATACGATAATCGATTGAATTAGACCACAGATTTTTCAAAAACCTGTCTCCTGCTAAGGATATAAAAACATGTATTACCATTCTCAAAAGTGCGACTGTGCACCTCTGACAATGTCAAACTATATTAATGTTGCATCTAAAACATGTACCTGATCTACTCACAGCAGCATGTCATTCACATATATAAGGCCGTCCATCTGTCCCGCAATTTGCGCATTTGTCAAGTATTTGCTGGAAAATTTGAAGTCACACCAGTTTTTTTTGCGTGGCAGAATATGTCACGCAAATACGCATTTTACCTGATTATTGTCAAGCAAAAAAACCAAACGCTGAAAAAAAACGAGCGCATTTCGTTCGGAGTTTTCAGGCGGATACCGTATATTCACGCATGTCACGCATGTCACGCATATTCTTCGAAATCATTCGTCCCTAGTGTTTTTTACAAAGACCCCCCCACAGTGGACAGAGCCATATGTTATATGGAATGCATTTGCACCATTCACGTTCCTCCCTGTTCTGTAAGCCCCGCCTTTAATAGCTAATATGGCAAATCGTCTAGGCAATTGTCATGTCAGCATATGATATGATATGATTGTGGTTCAAATATGTTACATATCACATCAACTATGACATCAGTCACATATTAACCAATCAACAACTAAATAATGTTGGTTTTATACAAATCTATGATGTTATTAACATGTTACCTAACCAATAACAAAACAAGCATTTAGTTTGTTCATTGTCTTTCTCGTGGTCTTTTCATAAAAAGTGGATCAGTTTTCTCAACATATCATATGGCCTTGGTATTTTCTAGTGAAATTTTCACTGGATTAACTTGTATTTTTTAAAGATCTGTAAAGTTCCTTGTCACTTTTCTAACTTATTTTCTTAGACTTCCATCCCTAGGAATGTGTCAAAGACATAACAGATATCCAGATTATGATCTATCATGGGCTTTCTTAAGAACCAGTGTATTGACTATTATGATCTACTAGAGCCACTTACTTTAAGTAATTTCAGTGAAATAGTGAATACAGGGTGTTCCAAAAGTAACAGGACTGGTGCTGGCATTTTGTCAATTTTGCACTGAGTGTCTTCCAATTTTCACAAATTGTACCTTGAAGTATTGCAACTATAATTACAAAATTTCAGAAAAAATGATGAAATGCGGTTGCTATAGTAACATTACATCCTAATACCCGGGGCAACTTTTTTACTGAGAATGTGATATCTAACATTTTTGTATTTCTGAAGAAAGTATCTAATTCACCTATTATAATATAAAATTTCTTGTTTATTTTATTTATTTTATTAGTTGCTTTGTTGTAAAGATGTTGCTATATTCAGATTAAAGTATATTTCATAATGATAATAATATTTATTCAATTTCCTGGAATATCACTATGTATAACAGTCTGAAAAACTCAAGGTTGAGTCTTTGAAAAGACCCAATCTGAAGCCAGTCATCCACCTTGATAAGGCGCCTGCCCCCAGGTCACCATTAATGACCATGCAGCTGTAGAGGAGCTAGGTCTTGAGGTCTAAAACCATGCACCATACTCTTCTGATCATACAATATCTAATTTTTATCTATATTGAGATCGGAATGCTAATCAGTACTGTACAGTATGTTCTCAAATGGGTTCACTCATGTGTTTGGGTCATGGATACAGAATACTACTCTTGTACTGACCAAAGAGGAGCCCATTTTTCAAAGTAGAGGATACATATGAATGTCAAATGATGTAAAACAAATGTAATTCCCACCAGTTGTTGCATTTCAACTTTGATATGGCATGTACAAAATGATATGGGATGTACAAAATGCTTAATGTCTCTGTTACTTTTTGCGTGGAATGTTGCCCCAGGTATTGCGATGTCATGTTACTATAGCAACCATAACTCTACCCAAGTTTCATATATTTTGTTGAAACTTTGCAGTCTTAGTAATGATACATGAAAGTACATTATGTAAAATTTTGAAGACGATTGGTGCATATTTAACAAAATGCCAGCACCAGTCCTGTTACTTTTGGAACACCCTGTATAGCTGGTCAAATAGAGGTAGTCAAAATTCTGATTACTGGAAAAATGGATTTAAGAAGTCTCTATTCCCGGGATGAAGAACTACTCTATACAAAATGCCACCCCCTGGGACAATAATGCATTGCAAAATTCAAAATTTCGACCATCCCCAATGGGTGTCTGACGCAAATGTTAAAATGTAGCTTTTTGCTGTTTGGTTATTTATACTTTCTTGCAAGAATAGTTAAAAATGAATGAGTTTTGAATGCTTCTTTCGGTTGGATCCCTACTTTGTTGAGTTGTCATTTTTCTTGTTCAATTTAAAATTCCCCTTGATCTAGCCGTGCCTGTATTTGATTTTTTTCATCATTAACTCAAACTGGTTTTTAGTTTAGTCTAGTTTCTCTGTTAGTGAAAGTTTTTAACTGTTAAGTAGTTTGTTATAAGCAGCTTATCTTTCAGTTTCCCATACCACTGTGTGTTGATGGATTCACTGTGGTTTATCTCTAGTGAATGTAAGCAATTCAATAAATATCTAGGAAATGATTGAATGACCTCATACCTTCAAGATTAAATTATGATTAATAGGTAATGATATTTGAACCTTGATCGGGACTTATCTAAATTACCAACAGCGTACTTTACATAACCATCATGTTCCACTCATGATATGTTACACACCCAGGGTATGTAGTAGAGTATAGCTGTTGACCTACAATCTAAAACAAGCCTGTAACCAGTTTTTGTCAAGGGGGGTTCACTTTTCAGATAAATTCGAAGGGTTTCAATTTGACAAATTTGGCTCAAAATCACATGGAAAATGCTCAGAATCGATTGTGAAAAACTGCATGATTTTTAAGGCCAGAAAGGTTCGCCCGAATCTCACGAACCCCCCCCCCCCCCTGGCTAGGGGCCTGTAAAAATGTGATATCTCTTACTCAAGTCCTGCAATGAAGTTTGCAAATAAATTTGAGCATCATTTTCAGTATTTTAAAATCATTCTCTGTCATAAGTTGCCAGTAATCTGTAAATCACATGAAAAACATTCATTGACATTTTAAGATACGTTTGTCAGAAGCTTTTGACTTTTGAGCTATAATTCAAAAAAGCTATATTATCTCTCTTAATTCATGACATTAAAATAAGTTAATGATTTATATAACTTATCTGCATCATTTGAACATTCACAAAATAGTTTTGCATGCTTGCATCATATATGAATATTTAAAGTAAGTCAACATCTGGTATCTGTTCTTTAAGTAAATGGAAGTTATTTAGTTAGTAAACCTCTTAGCCTCCCCCCCCCCGTTTTAAAAATTGCTCATTTTCTCACTTAATAGTTATCTGTTCAACCATTGATTTGATATGTAAAATTATTTTTGTCTCTTGATACAGTCAAACTGTAAAGTACCTAGTTGAAAACATGACTACATGATTTTAAATCTATTCCTGGTGAAGAAATTAATGACTTATTTATATAAAGGATGGTAAGCCTGACAGTGATATAATAAAACGAACAAATTCCGTTCTATTTTTGGTCAA